ATGGGGAGAAGGCACAGGGAGGTCATGAGGGCCGAGGGGAGGATGAATAAGTGGGTAAGTGCTGATGAGCCATGCACTGTGCCACGCACTGGCCGATTGCACCTACAGTGGCCCTTGGCTTAGGAACTCAGCCGCATCCCAAAGACTGCTTATACCTCAGGGTGTCAGTTGGAGGCTCAGGCTGCTCTACACAGCCTTCCAAGCCTGTCTCCTGTACAAGGCGATCTCTGTGTCGTCAGAGAGACATTGGCCCAGGATTCCTCAGTGAACCCCCTATAAGAAGGGGTGCTGTAATACCACATCCCTATTGTAATGCTCCTTTCAGTACACTTTAAGGGTTGGATCTGTACCTGACATAATCTAGAAGCACAGGGAGCCGGCACTCGGGTCCTAACTCAAGACTTTGGGTGTGAGTTAAAACTAAAATTCGGCTCCTATGCTGGGATGGACTCACAATGTGCTGTTAGAACCAGGGGTGCCCCACCTGGGTGTGAGTGCTGCCCATAGGAGGGTGGCCTGGGACTGAGAGGGTTGCTGCTGTCATTCACTGTGTGGCACTTGCTTCCTGGATACTTTGCTGACTTCCTACCTTCTGCCCTCTGTGGACTGTTTCCCCTCTGCATGCCCCCCTGCCGTGGAGCAGGCCAGCTATGCACTGAGACCTCTACAAACCATGTGCTACAATAAACATTTCCTTCTGCACAAAAATTTTTTTAAAAAAAGCGCCATAGTACAGTACATCTGTGTTCATTTAACACACGAAGACCAGGGGCTCAGAGAGGGCAAGTGACCCACACGGAGTCCACTCAACTGGGGGCAGTGGTGGAGCTGGGATTTGATATCGTTCTCCTCATCCTGAACCACCTCTTTGCAGGTGCTCATGTCCTGGGACAGGGGCTTCAGGAGGAAGGGCTGGACAAGGCGGGAGGTGCCCAGCATTTGCCCTTCGTAGACAGATTTGGCAGTTGTGGCCCTTAAGGATTAAATGGTAGGAAATGAGCTCTGGGGAATTTCCAGCCTTGAGTCTTTGAGAGGCGCGATCTGGCATGGTGCCCTGACAGAGAACACCCTCCCAGACCAGTGAGATGAACCACGCCTCTCCCCAGCCACAGGCAGGAGCCATGCCTGAGGCACCATGTGCTTTTCCCCTCTGGCATCTGCACGCTGGTTCTGCCTTGGATGGGGATTGAGCAGGGCTATATGAATCCTCAGCCCTCCATCTGTCATCCTGACCATGATGGGCTTGGATTCTTTTCGGAGTTGGGCAGAGGCCAGAGCCAACCATGGCCAACTCGGTCCAGTGCTTCACCTGCCATGGGGAGGGGCAAGCCATGCTTCTGGGATCTCTTCCAGTGAATGTTCTTCCCTGTTTCCCACCCTACCGACTTCCCGGGTGACTCCAGCCCCACCTCACCCCATTCATGTCTCTTTCTGGAAGGACACCATCTCAGCCGGAAAGATTTTGTTCTCGACCGAAAATTGATAGAGAAATGAGGACTGTGAAGATTAGAATACATCCATCAAATTTCATGTGTTGGGAACCTAATTTCTAAATTCATATATTTAGGAGGCAACTAGAATTAGATGAAGTCACAAGGCTGAGGGCACCATGAAAAGACTGGGGGCTTTATAAGGAGAGGAAGAGAGACCTGGGCTGATCTACACTTGCTCTGTCTTAGCACATGACACCCTCTGCATACTATTGCACATCAGGAAGGTCCCCCCTGGTGCCAGCATCATGAAATCCCAGCAATCGGGAAAACTAAGCTCAACTTGGGCAATGTAGTGAATCTCTGTCTCAAAACTTTAAAAAAAAAAAACCCACTTAAAAAATGACTAGGAATGTAGTTCTGTGCAAAGGTCCTGCACTGCAAAAAAGAAAAACACAAAAACAGACCAACGGAGGGCACAGGGAAAGTGGTGGTTGGGGAGAAGGGGTGTGGCCTGTGTTCAGGCTGGCCTCAGGCTCCCAGGCCAGGTGGGGACTGAGGTGAGGTATGCTGTTCCCCGGCTCTCTCTAAGGCTAATCCTTGCCTCAGACTGGCAGGAGGCTCCAGGCCAAAGTGTGGGAAGGGGGATCCCCTAGGTCACCTTTCTTTGAGTTTCCTGCCTGAGCATAGGGAAGGTCCCACCTACTCCAAAACTCCAGCGCCCCTGGTGCTGCCTCCTCTCCAGACTAGCTCTGCCCAGCAGGGACAGCAGCCCCAGGAGCCTCGATGCCCCACCCTGAGCACAGGCCTGCCTTCCGCCTCCTCCATCAGCTCCCTCGATGCTCCAGCTTCCACCAAGTCCTCCTTCTTTCCAGCCAAGGAGAAGCTGTGCGTCAGGGGAGAGAGATACTTTGGGAGGATACTGGGGAGAGAGAGGGAGCAAACACTGAGCAGTTCAGAAGAAGGGTGGAGGTGGCTTCCCTGGAAGGCCTGAGGGCAGCTGTCCCTGGGGTGTGGCGGGCTACTTGCACAGGTCCTGGTCTCCTCCCTGTTACCGGATCCCTCTAACCTCACTGTCCTCAGCTTTGAGACAGGCGTGATAGTAATACCTACATCCTGGTACCAAGCGGAACTAAAAGAAAGAATTCAGGAGTGTGCACAGCAGGGGAAGGTGCTCCTGGTTGCCATTCATTCATTCATTCATTCATCTGTGCATTCGTTCAGTGTCTACTGTGGTTCAGCCACTATTCTAAGGGCTTAGGATCTGTGAGCAAAACAAAGTCTCACTGCATGTGCATCTTACCTGGGACAGGAACAGCTGCAGTGGGGTGGGGGACAGGCCATAAACAAGCACCTGAATAAATAAGGAAATGTTACTGTTCAGCAGAACCTTCCAGTGCCATGGAGCAAAGACACCGCTTCCCCAGGATGAGGTTATTATCCTGTTCCCCAGACGTTGGATGTGTCACTATTATTCATGCCTCCCTTCTAAGGAAAAGATAAAGCTTGGCCCCAGGGCCTATCCCCAGCTGTACAGTTGCTGAGTCCTCCCAGGTCAGGCCCCACTTGAAGAAAGGTGAATCGGTTTAGCATAAACTCACTCATCTGTTCTGCAAAGCAACAGCTCGCTGCAGAGGAGCTGCTTCCAGCCTGCCTGCTCGAGGTGAATCAGAAGCCCTTGTCCCGAGGGGGCACGGAGGGAGGTGCCTGTGAGCATCTGGTCAGGGCCTCCGGAGCCTGGCAGGCAGTGGGAACGGCCTGTGTGCACCCTTCTCATTGACCAACCCACCAGGCTCCGAGTCCCCGGCCCGTCTGGACTTGGTAGAGGAAGCCCTGCTCTTTCTTAGGCCGCTGGCTGCTTTCCTCCTCCGGAGCGCAGGACTGTCCCTAACCTACTAAGGGAAAGAGGAAATAGACACTGCTGTTTCTGAGATGTTTCCTAAATTGTCCTTGAGCAAAATCAGAGAGCCCGTTTCCTTAGCCCTCCAAAGTGGGGAGGGATGCTGCAGCCGTCTGCCCACCATGTGCCCAGCCTCTGACATGTCCTCGCTGTCCCCACTCCATAGTGCAGCCTCTGTTGCTCTTGTCATCACGCCCTGCAGAACACATGTAGGAGAGAGCAGAGCAGACTGTGCCCACGGCCTCTCACTGCGGACATGGCTGTTCACCAAGGTTGTGGGAAGCACAGGTGGCCTGGATGTCTCAGGGCCTGTGACATTCAGCAGTGCACAGGAGGAGGGATGGGGTCGGCCACATGGCGAGGAGCATGAGGCCCATGTGAGTTTTACCGCAGAGGGAGGTGCACCACCTCCACACTGCCTTGGGGTTTGGAGCTGGGAACAGCCTGTTCTCCCCACAGTCACAGCTCACAGGGGCCACAACAGTCTCTCCTGCCACCGGGCCCCCTCAGTGCTGAGTCACGCTCTCCAGGGTTCACTGAGGCCCCAGGCCAGAGCTGGCTGAGTCACTGGATGATGAACTGTAGAATTCTTATGCCAGTTGTCACCGCAGTGGCAGAGGCCCTGCTCCCTTGCTAAGCCATTCAAAACATTCTGTCTCGGGCTGTCATTCCCTCTCCATCTTGGAGGCCTTGGCGGTGAGATCAAGAGAGGGGAAGGGGTCAACGGGGTGTCTACAGGCTTCTTTCCAACGCCTGCATTCCAGACCTCTTCTAACAGAGACATCAGCTCGGTGAGCACCAGTGAGGACCTGAGATCTCCCACTGGCGCTTTGTAAACAGATGGACTCAGGTGCCCTGGCTGAGGTTTAGAGCTGCTTGGGAGAGCAGAGGACCTGGTGTTGAACTGGGAAGGGCAGCTTTGGAGTCAGACAAGCCCTGGGCTGAATCTGGGTAGTGGGCAAGACTCATCAAGCCTGAGTGTCCTTTATCTATCAAATAACACAGTGATTCCTACTTCTCAGAGACAGACTGCTGAGCAGGCATAAGCAGGGACTCAGACACTGCTGTTTGGACTTCCTGTGTTTGCTGGGGAGTCCACGAGGTAAGGTCTTTCTTTGTCTTGCTCAGAAAATCTCAGAAGGGAGAGGAAGGATGCTTATTCAGGATTTCTTGGAGATTAGGTCAGGGGAGTAGGTTTGGCCAATGGGCAGATGTTTCTGGAATCCTGATCTTCTTGACCCAACAGGGAGGATCACAAATCAGCACGTTTGAGCTAGCCAAGACGCTTGTCTAATTGCCCCACACCAGAAAACAGGCAGAGAACAAGCCAATGGGCATAGCCACCCTCACCTGGCTCTCTTGCCCCCCTCCTACACGTCACACCTCCAAAAATCACACCCCAAGCTCTGCCCGTGTGTGCAGCCCCCACCTGCTCGAAACCACTGGGCAGGAGTAGCCCTGCAGATGCACATCTGCACTGCAGACCTACCTCTCCTGCAGGAGCCAGTTGAGACAGAAGGCCCCACAGGGTGACCATGTCACACCTTACAGCTCCTGCTGTGTCCCCAAGTAATGTGTGCAGGCATCCTGGGAGTCACCATCAGCCAGCCAGTTTCTGGGCCAGAACATTGGAGGCTCCCCAAACCCATGAACTCATCTGAGCAAAGGTCTCAATTTTTCCCAAGAACTTTATTAAAAGGAGTAGAGGAAAGAGATACAAAATGTATCATCAAAGGAATGAAAGAATACACAGCACAGATGCCTGACCCTACTGCAACTCAGAGATGGCTGCGATATGTACCACAGAGGGGAACCAAGGCTCTGGTTTCACCTTCAACCCAGTCTCTCTTGGCCACTCGGCCAACCTTCTCTGGAGACAGCTCAGGCTGCCTTGCTAAAGCTTCTTGTGCCCACTTTCCTAATTTCTTTCAGCACAATCCTTTCCCCTCTGGCCCCCAAGACGTTTATCCAGCACTTCTGGTGGGGTCTTACCTGATCTGACTCTGCCTTCTCCACCCCTCCAATCACAGGAGCCTGTGGCCCTGTTTATTCTTGCTCTGATGCGCTGAATTAAACTACGTACATAAGCCAGTAGGGCGAGTTGGTTTGGCTACCCTTGATCAAATCACCTAAGCCTTTCCCAAGCCTGCATATGAACTTGGTCTTCCCCCTGCTAGAAGCATCTTGGGTGCTCTCCCTGGCAGCTATCTGCCCCAGCTAATGCAAAACTGCTTTCTCCCTAAAGCAGATGTCTGCATCCCTGCCCCAACCCCCACTAAATTTATAGGACAGTTGGAGGTCTCCACTTCTCTGCCGAAGAGAGATAGTCAGACACCTTGATCTTGGCACCCACCAGTCAAACCTTGCCCGGTTCAGGTCCCAAACTCCATCAACTTCCGTTGAAAGTTTTTCCACTTCTTTCTTGGACTTGTGCCCCTTTGGAATTCTGCCTCTGCAGTTTTAGAAAATGACATCACTTCATAGATACAGTAATGGGAAGATGACAGTGAAGGAGAGCTCTTCCCTCCCAAATTATATCTTCTCTAAACTATTAAAAGACTGGGCCACTCTTGCCATTTTTAACTTTCTCTAAATGTCTACGATAATCAGTCCTTAATTAGTGCAGTCAGAATCTCAGCTGGCTTTTAGGAATGGCAATGAATCTTGGCAAGCTAGCCATTGGTCCCTTCTTCTGTCGTCACCGTGTGTCTTTGCAGATGGCTTCCTCGTGTCACTGTTGGAAAGCAAAACAAAATAGCCTCCTCCAGAGGCGCATGGTCTGCAGACAGCAGCTCTACCCAGATGTTCCTGAGCTTCTACATCACAATATGTGCACGCCACATCCCCATTCAAGCTTACTGACATCAGGTGAAATTCTGCTAATCGATGCGTTGGCGTTGGGCTTTAACTGTGTGTGCAGTACTTCCCTACACTTCTCATCCCATCCTCACTGCAACCTTGTGAGGTGGACGTGATGGCATTACAGTCCCGGATTACTGATGTGCAAACTGAGGCTCTAAGTTGTTAAGGAGCTGGAGCAAGACTGTACAGCTCTTTGTGGAAGAGCCGGTGCCCAACCCAGGTCTCTGGTACCTCATCCTCTTCCCTCTTTCCAGCATGAAGAATACAAACAAGGTCCTTTCCTGTCCTCCCACCCAAACAGCACTCTCCTGAACAGCCCATGTACCACCTGGACAACCAAGGAAAGAACAACTGATCAAGCTAACTGTCATATCCAACGTGGAGGGTTGTGGTACACCACGAATGCTTCCTTCAGGTCAGGGATACAGCTCAGCAGCACAGCACCTGTCTTGCAAGCACAAGGTCCTAAGCTCAATTCTCAGTACAAAAAAAAAAGTTTCCCTCCTTTTTTTGGTCTAGAATTCCACACTTTTTTTTTTTTTTTTTAGGATTCCTAGGTCCCAGGTAAGGAATTGAGGATTTTACTTCCAAATTATGCTCAAAGTTACACTTCCTGTCCTCCCCCCCAGGGATCAAACTCATGACTTTGCCAAGTAGGAATTTACCCTACTGAGCTAAACCGCTGCCCCCCTGCTTTTTTTTCTTTTTCCTTTTTATCAGTACCGGGGATTGAACTCACGACTGCCTGCTTGCAAGGCAGGCGCTTATGCCACTGAGCTAAATCCCCAGCCCCCTTTTTTGGTCTTTTGGAGACAGGTCTCACATGCAGTTTCAGCTGGCCTTGAGCTCACTTTGTAGCTCAGGCTGGTCTCAAACTCACAATGATCCTTCTGCCTCAGTCTTCAGAATGCTGGGATTAGAAGTATGCACCATCACACCTGCCTTTCTGTCCATCGTGCACATTTTGCCAGCATTCTGGACCCTTTCACCCTTATTCCTTTAGTAGGAAAATTATTTGCCTCTGTCTTCCAATCCCACTTGGCCTCTCATCTCTTTGCGCACTTGTGGGATTCTCTCTAGCAGCCAGGGCACATCTCACTGCTCTATATAGCCTGAGTGGGTGTCCCGTCTATCCTGGCTCACCAACCAGGTCCTCTGCCAAGGCCCCTGTGCACCTCTAGAGAGCTGCTCTTCCAAATCACATGTGCATGTGCTCCTGGAGAGCCTCTCCCAGAGCCCCACTCCACACACACACAGCCAGGACACCCTGATCTCAGCCCTGCTTTTGACAAGGACTGTAGTCTTGGGAGGCACACGATGGACTGTGCCACAGTGCCCCCTACTGGAGCCTTCCCACCAGCCAACATTTTCATGCAGCTTGGTTGCCTATGGCTATGGCATTCCACAGTGGGAAATCTCTGCCATTAAACACTGCCTCCTCCCTTTCTAGACTTCATTTATTTCACAGACGTTTACGGAGCACCCACGAAGAACTATCAGGCGTTAAGCCCGCAAACAGAACTGCAGCGAAGGCAGACGCCATCTTGGCTTCCATACCACCTACCTTCTTGTACTAGGTGGTTCTGTAGAACCACTACTTGGTCTGATTTTGCTGGTGAACAACTGTCCTCAAAGTCCAGAAACTGCCCACCTACCGCTTTCCTGGGGGGCAGTTACTGGTCCAGATGAACCCAGCTCTAGTGACGCTTCCTCTCTGCCCTGGCTGTGCCTCTTCTCTGAACCACTAGTTGTAACTATACGTCCACTCAACCCAGTAGCTATCTATCCTCAAAGCTCAGATAGAGGTGTGTTTTGTTGGAGTAACTATTCAAGCATACATGTTATGTCATGGATAAATACTAACTGAAGTAGAATGTGCGTATCTGAATAATATCAGAAAACAACTCAAAAAGAACCCAACCTCCTGAATCACTATTTACGGATCAGAACCTATCTCCACTTACTTCCTAATCAGACATACTTTTCCTTTCCTGTTATCACTATGTGGTCATAATTCATTCCAAAATCGCCTAGTTTTTCGTGCTCATGACTGCATCATGTAACTGCCTCTTCCAAATAGTCTTCATACTCTTCATACGCCAGGGTAGAGCTCACTCCCCTAACAAACCGCAGTCCACTTCACTGTCATTCTGCAACTGAACCGTTTCCAGCAAATGACTGGACTCCAGCGGGCAGTCACAGATGTCTCTGTACAAATATTTTCCCTAATAAGTTACTTTTCCAGAATGTATTCCCCAAAGTAAGATAAGACAGTCTTACAATTTTTAAAAAACTTGTCAAGAATTGCCACACTAGCCTAGAGCCGGGTGTGGTGGCTCATGCCTGTAATCCCAGCACTCAGGAGGTTGAGGCAAGAGGATCATTGCGAGTTCGAGACCAGCCTGGGCTACAAAGTGAGCTCAAGGCCAGCCTGAACTGCATAGTGAGACCCCATCTCAAAAAAGGACACACACACAAAAAAATTGCCACACTAGTCTCCAGCAAGCATTATTTGTAGTACCAGGAGTCTACATATTTCTCCAGAGGATATTTTGAAAAAAAATTTTTTCCTGCCTCTTTGTGACAGGGTCTTACTATCCAGTTCAGACTAGCCTTGAACTTGCTTTGTAGCCCAGGCTGAACTCAAACTCACAGTGCTGGAATTCCTGGCATCTACCAGGAATGGAAATTTGGCCTGGAAATTCATTTTTGATAAAAGCAAGTTTTTCTGTGGTTTGTTTCCTCCACATGTTACTAGCCCCTGCTTGGTCATATTTCCCCTGGGTACACAGCCTATTTCATTCTTTCTCCAAATAGGTCTCTTAGTCACTCCATATACAGTGTTTGAGACTCAGTTTTCCCTCATCAACTCAATTCTACATAGTTTTCTCATCTTACTGGCTTTCTTTTAATCATTATTCTTTGCTGTATGCATATTTTTATACGATCGAAGCCGTCCACCTGGACACTGAAGATCTGCCCCACTGTTTCGATAAATAAGAAAGGTGCTTCCCCAGAAAGACTTCCTTTTCCCTCTCCCTGGCGTCCTGCACTTTCCATCTGGACTTGTTCTGAATCCCTCTGGTTTCCACGAAGACTCCACCACCCATGATCCTTACATAGATTCCCTTCTGCTCCTCTCTCGACAACCCCCAGCTAACGAGGCCCATAGTCTCCTCAGTCACCTCAGCGCCACCTCTGCCACCACCGCACAAAGGACTGGTGGCCACGGTCACCTCTAACTGCATCCTTCCCTTGTTTTTATGCCTCCTGACCCTACTGCTGACTTCTCAGGTCCTCTGACTGGCCAGGCACACCAGCCCCACACTGGCCTGTAGGGTTCCACAGCTTCCCAACTCCTCTGCCTAGAAAAACTAAGGGGAAACAAACAACAACAAAAAGACTCCAGGAAATGTAAAGGAAGCCTAACTGAAGACTGCATGGTGAAGATTTGACCCCGAGCATAGGGGACGCCTTGGACTGGTGCAGAGTGGAGGCACGCAGGGCTCCCCTTCTCCGATACTCCGCAAAGCTGGCTTTTCTGGCTGCCTGTTCTCTTCACAGCCTCCGAGGCTAAGACCTACCGCCGCTGTCAGGGCCAGTACTTCCTGGCTACAGCCAGCAGATGTGCCATTGTCATCTGTAGCTATTTCGAGACCTCAGGGCTCTTGTGACCCCAGGGGCCAATCTGAGGGTAGCCAAGTTCTTGGTTCCTTCACAAAATGCCTACAACTGATCTACTCTAGGTATTTTGGAGTGTGTGTGTGTGGGTGGTGCTAAGGAACCCAGGGCCTTCAACCTGTGCTATGTCCCCAGCCCTTTTATTTTGAGACAGGATCTCATTAAGTCTCCAAATGACCCAGCCTGGATTTGAACTTATGATCCTCCTGCCTCAAGAATGCTGGGATTACTGGCCTCTGCCACCAGGCCTGGTTTGAGGGCCTTCATGTCTCAGAGGACATGTACTAACGTCTCCAGGACTCCCTCTTGGCTACTCTACTAGGAATGTTTTTGAAGAATGCAAATCAAGACACACTTACAATTCCCAGAAATCTACTGTCACATACAAACAGCAAGAGGCTCAGCTGACACCCAGCACCTTCTGCCCCACTGCTTCTGGGAGCTATGGCCATACCACGATTGGTCCTCACCTTGCATATCAGAAGAGGGGTCGGCGGTCTCGCATTTCATGCTGAAACACTGCCACCCTTTACCCTCCAGGAAATGCCCTATATCCCACCCCCTTCCCCCTCCCCCCGCCCCTCTAACTGTCAGGGGAACGGACCCGAAAGACATGGATGGTCCCATTACTGAGAGACACAACCAGGTACCTGCCGTCTACCATGGTAGTCACCCGGGGCTTTTCTAGGCCATGGAAGGCTGTCAGGAAGTCGCCCAGAAGTGACCCCTTTGGGTCCAGAATCACCACCTTGTTGACCTCTCGGATGGTCAGAAAGATGTAGCCCTTCTTATCCACAGACAGGGACCCTGGCTGGCAGCCATGCAGGCCTGGCCCCTTGTACTCCCCAATCACCTGACCCAGCCCGTCACAGACCACCACACTATTCTGCTGCCAGTCAGACCCCACGAAATTGCCCTGGGGGCTGGCTGTCAGGAACACCAGTGCCCGCTGGCCCCGGCTGGCCTTGCCCCCAGGGATGAACCGGGTGGCCAGGCTGCCTTCCATGTTATATACTTCCACGTGGCCCGCCACACTGACAGCCACGCGATCCTTGCCGGGCAGCGCAGTCACCGCATGGCTGGCCTGGCCAAGGCTCAAGGCGCGACGCCACTGCACCTCACCACTGGGGCTGATAAGATAGAGCCTCGCTCCAGCCGAGAAAGCCACAGCATTTTGGAGGGCCGCCACGCTGCATGGGGAGCAGCCCTCAGGGACCGGCACCGTGCCCTTGTAGTCGCCACTGAGGGAAAAGCGTTTCAGTGCCCTGTTCTGCTCATCTGCTACCAGGATCTCCCTGGGGCCGAAGGGACACAGCCCAGTGATTCGAGGAGACCGCTTGTCTCCAGGCATCCGAATGGGGAAGGTGCAGTAAAAGACGGGCCTGGGGAGGAGGCCTGAGCCATCCAGGTTTGGCCCCAGCGCAGGGCTGGGCTCGCGGGAGATGGATTTGCACCTGCCTTTGAACTTTTTCTTCTTGTTGGATCTGCCACCCCTCTCCAACTGGGGTCCTGCATCTTCCTGGGGCAACTGGGCTTTGTCCTCTTTTGGGGATAGGGCTCCATCCCTATGCTGGGGCTGGGCTCCGCTCTGCCCCTCTGGCTTGGCTCCAACCTCTTGCAGGTTTTGGTTTTCAGACCCTCCCTGGGTTCCCGCTCCATCTTTCCCACTGTCCTTCTCCGTCTGCTGCTCCTCAAAAGACAGCCGCAGAAGATGGCAGTTCTTGTCCAGGAGCCCGGGGTGGAGCTCGAGCTGGGGCAGCAAGCAGGGGGCTGGCCCTGGAGTCCAGGGACAGCCCTGCAGCTGCTGGAGTCTCTGGGTGATCGCTCCCTCCAGCGAGAGTATCTCAGCCTCTCGCCCCAGGCTGAGCACTCGCCGGGCAAAGGCAGCTGCTGCCTTGGCCACCTGTTCCTTGTCCTCTAGCTTGGCCAGCCTCTCCCGGGCAGCCTCCTCAGCAGCCTCCACATGGGCCCGCAGCTGTCCCAGCACCTCCTGCTTCTGGGCCAGCAGGGCCCGGAGGACTCCCTCCGCCGCCTCCTCCACCTGTGTCCCTACTCTGGCAGCCTGCTCCCGCAGTCGGGCCAGAGCTTCCTTTTCCACCACCCGACTGGTCTCCAGCTCCACCAGGTGGCTGTCCACACCTGCCAGCAGCTCCTCCAGGCCGGGTCTCCGGGCACTGACTGCCTCCGCCAGGGGGAGGCAGGGGTGGTCCAGGTGGGGGTCGAGGCGGCATTCACGGCACAGCAGCTGGGAGCAGGGCTGGCACAGGAAGCGCAGGGCCTCCCCAGGGTGCTGGGGACACTGGGCTGCCTGGCGCTCCCGGGCCTCTTCATCGTACCACCCTGCCCTGTAGCCCACCAGGTCCACCACGCGGTGGGTGTGGGTTTGGCGGGTACAGCGATGCCCATCAGCACAGGCCTGGCAGAGGTCATCGGCACAGTCCAAGCATCGGGCTGTGGCTGGCCCCCCAGCACTGGTGCCACCCACCAGGGGACATAGGGCACAGGCTGGCTTTCCTGCACGCAGGTCCCCGCAGGCCCGGGCCTTCACCAGGTCCAGAAGCCCATTGACAAAGAAGTTGGTCTTAAAGGCAGCCACTCCGGCAGGAGGCACAGGCACCATCTCTCGGCACTCAGGGCAGCGGACATGGCCGCTCTCAGCCAGCTGGGCCAGGCAGTCCTGGCAGTAGGTGTGCAGGCAGGGCAGGGTCTTGGGCGTGTGCAGCTGCTCCAGGCAGATTTTACAGGCCAGAAAGTCACTGCTTAGGGCCTCCAGCAGGGAGGGTGAGGAGCCCTGGGAAACCATGCTGTGAAGCAGGGGAGGGGTCAGAGGTCAGAGGGTGCCTCCCACCCCTCCCCCCATCTTAAGCCTCCCTCACATTCTCAGGTCTGAAGTCTCACCTGGTGAAGAATTTCCTTCTGGCTTCCTGGTGACTTACAGAGGGCTCTGGGCCTAGTGTCCACCCTGTTCCTCCTCCTCTTCTTCCTCCCCAGGTACATTCAGCAACTGTGAACCTGGTTGTGTTAGGCCTGTGAGAAATGAAAGATCAAGAAGGCCCCTGGTCTTAGAGAGCAGAAAACACAGGTGACAGCCCTGTGGCAGGTGTGGCAGGACCCTCTGTGGGCGAACAGGAACCAGGGTCCTGCTGGGTATCCTGGGAGAAGAGGGTCAGGTGAGCAGTCACCTGGTCCCTGCAGCTGGAGCAGGATCTGGGAGTCCTATAAGGGACCCTAACTTCCCGGGTCTCATGGGGCAGCATGGGGTGGGGGGGACCTGCTGCCCCAACATTTCCGGAAATGGATTCTGGGCTCCTCTTCTGGAGTCCTTCCCTTGCAGCCTTTCCTGCCTAATGCATTCCAGAAACTTCTGCAGGAGTTGGGGATGCCCAGCACAGGGACAGGAGTCCCTGTCCTCCACACAGAGATCTGATGATTTTCCCTCTTTCTGGGGGGCTGCGGGTGGGGGTTGGGAGAGGAGGGGTCTTGGGGGAGGCTCCCGGGCGGGGCAGGGCCGGGCGCAGCTCCCGCGGATCCCTCGCTGCCCTCCCTTCCTCTTCCTCGCGCGCTTCCCCTCCCTTTTCCTTCCCCCCTCCCCCGTGCAGTTCTGCCCTAGTTTTTTAGGTGCCCCTGGCCCAGCTTACCCTGCCAGAGCCGCCCTAGGGGTGCCAGCGGGACCCCTGTGGCCTGGACACCGCAGTTGCTGACAGCCAGTAACAGAAACAAAACTGAAACTAATTGAAGTTGTGGTGCAACTTCCGTCCCTGCCGGGGACACGGAGCGCGGGCGCAGGCCCCGCCCCTTCCCCACCCGGCAGGGTCTCTCCCCAGCTCCCCGGGCCGCTCGGTGTGTGCGCGTGTGCATGCCTGTGTGTCTGTGTGTCTGTGTGTCTGTCGCAAACAAGGCACCGCCTGAGGATCTGTTCTAGCTCTGCGGTGATTCAGGGATCCTGAAGCCAGGCCTGCAGCTAGCGGACACCTCGGCGAGGCCCTGCGTTGGGTAATCCTTGCTGAGCCATCAGGCAGGGCGGAAAGGGAGCCCGCAGCTGAAGGAAAAGATCTCTTGTAGCAACAGAGCAAGGGGTGAGGAGAGGACTGGGACCCCGGGGTCAGTGCAGGGCCCAAGATGCAGCTGCCAGGGAGGGAGGAGATGGAGATGCCCGAGGGAAGAGGTCCCGAAGCATGACGCTGGCCTTCCAGAAGGAGGTGGGCAGAGAGGCACCGATGCCCCGATAGGATGGTTGGAGTTCACAGGGCTCCCCCACTAGGGATTGAACCCAGCCTTTGCATTGGGGTACATCCCCATCCCTTTTCGGGTGTTTGTTTGTTTTCTGAGACAGACTGTTGTAGTTTATGAAAGGATCTTGCCCTAAACACTGCAGCGGAGGCTGGAGGCGGAACCAAGGGGCTCTATCTTGAGGTCACCTCCCCCATCCCTAGGCAGTTTACCTGTGGCTCGAAATAATTCCAATGGGCTACTTGTGCATCAGTAATGCCCCTTAGGCTCCACCCCAAACCTAAGCTATATGTGTGACCCCACCCCACGTGTCCCGCAGAGAGAATGCCACACCTCAGTGGTGGTGGTGGTGGTGTTTCTCTCTCTACATTCTTAAAATAGAGGCCACTTTTATTTCATACTTCTATCTTTTTAGCCGTGCGGAAAATTCTATCAGTTTGGACTGAACTAGAACTCACTGTGTAGCCCTTGAACTCACAGCAATGCTCTGGCGAGTTTTGGGATTACAGATGATTGCCACTCATAATCCCAAAACCTGGTTTCATCTCAGCCCCTTTTTTTTTTTTTTGTACCGGAGATCGAACTCATGACCTTGTGCTTGCCATTACACGACCGGGGAGCTAAATCCCGGCCCCATCTCAGCTCTTTTAAAAAAATCATTTTGCTTTAATTTTACACATAGGTAAGCTGTGTGACAGAGACATAATTACCCAAGGTCACTGCAAGTGCTACAGACACAGAAGAGGGAGAGGCCCTTCTCCTAGGAAGGGTGTGGCCTCAGTCAGGAATACTGCCCCAGAGGCAGCAACTGAAACCCCACCCAATGCCCTCCCCCACACACAGAGCCACTGCTTTAGGCAGTTGCAGTGCTTGCCAGACCCGAGGAGACAGCTTCCCCGGGAGATGGGAACGCTCTCCCCTCAACTACAGGTGAGCCAGGAGCATCTCCATGGATACGCACTAACCCAGAGGTCGGGGAGGAAGGGGAGTGTGGAGGGGGTGGGGCCGGATCTTGTCTGATTTTGTGGCTCCTGAGGGTGAGGCAGCAGAGGGACCCCCCCCTCATCAGTCTCATAGGATTGGGGGGTTGGAATTAATCAGAACTCTCCACCGATCGTGCTATAAAGCTGTAAGCTAGCAAGAAGCTCCGGCCACCAGAGTTCAGCCTCTTCAGGTTCATGGATTCAACCAACTTCCTGCTGAAAATACCAGGAGGAAGACTTGAAATGTACAGACTTTTTTCTTGTCGAGATTCCCCCTAAACATTCATGTAACACTTCTCTTCTCCCATCCCAACCCACTGGCAATCACTGGTCTGATTTCTCCCTCTTTAAATTTGTCATTTCAGCTGGGCATGGTGACACATGCCTATAATAGGTGCAATTGGGAGGCTGAGGCAGGAGGATCACTGAGTTCAAGGCCAGATTGGGCTACAAAGTGAGTTCAAGGGCAGCCTTGACTGCATAGTGAGAGCCTGCCTCAGAAAGATAATAACTTAATTAATTACTCATTTCAAGAAAGTGGCACACACCTGTAATCCTGACACCCAGAGGCTGAGGCAGGAGGACTGCCTCAAGCTCAAGGACAGCCTGGGCTGTATAGAGAAACCCTGTCTCCAAACCAAAAAAAAAAAAAGTTCTATAAATGGAATCATAAAGTATGAAATCTCTCTTTGGAGGTGGCTTATTTCATTTTGGGTAGCACCCATGGGATCCATCCAAGTTATATATTTGCCAGTAATTTGTTCCTTTTTACTACTGAATAATGTTCCACCATTCAGATGCACTACATCCGAATAGCCAGCTGGGCACTGGGTTTGGTTTATCACCAAGATGGCTATGTACAGGTTGTGTGAATCTGAGTTTCCACTTCTCTGGGATGAATGCTCAGGGTATGTTTGATGTGTTGCATGATAAACATATGTTTAATTTTACAAGAAAATGCCAACTCATTTTTCTGTTCCTTTCAGTAAGTAATACATGCTACTTGTTCCCTCCACATTATTGCCAGCATTTATTAGTTAATATTTTTATTTTAAAATTTGTATCCATATGTCTTCTTTTTATACATCTTTTCTTTCTTTCGTGTAGCCTCCTGTGAAGTGTCTGCTGCTCTTTTGCTGATTTTTAATTGGATTTTAAGATCCCTGCAGACTTTGAACAGCTTTTTCTACATTCTGGATACAAAGAATTGGTCAGATACGTGATTTGGGAATGTTTTGTCCCAGAAGCCCCTATCTCTCCTGCCCCTAGGAAGTTACCTGTGATGCCATCTTCCCGCCCCTGGAAATTTACATATGGCCCAAACCTAGGACCAATGGGCTACCTGTACATCCCTAATGCCTGCCTTAGGTTCCACCCCAAACCGAGGCTATTTACATGCCCCCACGCCACGTGTCCGCTGGAAAGATCGCCGGACGCCAGCGGTGGGGGTGCTGGTCATCTCTCTCTGTGTTCACAGAATAAAGGCCGCTTTTTATTTTATACTTCTCATCTTTTGGAAATACTTTTCATCTTTTGGAAATAATCCTAGCATTTGGTGCCATGACTCGATCAGCAGGCAATTGACTCCTGGGACACACCCAGTTGAGTCCCCTAGCCGATAACCAGATAACATCCTGGATTAATCCCAAGCTTTTTCCTCTCCCAAGGTGTCCCTGTCCCCAGCCGCCTGCACTCAGCATCGACCAGATTGATTTCAGGTGAGCACTCCCCGGGGAACTTTTGGCACTGGGCAGCCCCAGTCGAATGTTCTCCCCGTCTGCGTGGGTCTGTGCATTTTCACGTCCTTAGGACCGCCCAGGGCAGGGTTCTTTCTGGGAAAACCTGTGTCCACAAAATCTCTCACGGTCTTTGGGTTCAGATAGCCCAAAGCAGAGATTTTTGGGACCGCCCACACTGAAAGAACACCTCACTTCCTTAAAGCCTTGCGCTTTCACGGGCAAAACTGTTACTGACCCCACGCGGGCTCCACTCGTAAATCAGTGATGACTGGAATATACGAGTTTTTGGAACCGTAGCTGCCGCGTGGTGCCACAAACAAGTGACGGCTTGTTCTGGACCTCCGGCTTTTTTCTTGCCTGAATCAGTCATGGGGAACGTATTTTCTAACTCCCAAAAGACGCCTTTACAATGCTTAATTTCCAATTTACGTACTCTAAAAATTAAAAGTACCATAAAAACTAAACAATTAACTTTTTACTGCCAGGAGGTCTGGCCAACCTACCCGCTTATCGGCAAGCGTTGGCCCAAAGAAGGAACATTTGACCCCTGCATTCTCAGGAACTTGTATGATTTTTGTCAAGCTGGCAACAAGTTATTAGAACTCCCTTATATTCAGGCCTTTCTTATTCTGAGAACATGCCCATCTCTCATTAAGTCTTGTGCTCCCGCTCAGATACTTTTAGCTAAGTCTACCACGCCGCAAACTTTTCCATCCTGCCCTCCGGTGTTTTCCTGGCCGCCGCCTGCCTACCCCCAAACTCATTCCCTGCTGTTACCTCCCACCTGACCCCTCTCTCCTTCCCCTATGCCTGATTCTCTCAGCAGCTCTAATCCCTCTCTGTCGCAGATACCTCCCGCTGTGCAAACATCTCCCTCTCCCAGCAGCTCTAATCCCTCTGTTAGTGCTTCCTCGAAGTCTCTGACTTCTTCTTCTCCTGAGAATTCTCTATCCCCTACAGCATTCTCACCCACCCACTAGGTCTCAATCGCTATGTCCTTCCAGCAGGCCACGTGATTGTTCCAGCTTGCGCCAGGAACAGTTGCCATGTTACAACCTTCTGCCACGTGGCATGGCACCACCATGTTCAGGAGGGTGACATGGCGACAGGGCGCTGCCATGTTTTGGGTCACGTGACAGGGAGCCGCCATGTTCCCAGGACCCTCACTGTCAACGGGCGCCTCCCTGTGGCTCCTCTTGTGAACTGCAACAGCCGCCCTGTTGCAGTGCACATGATGCTTCACTGTGCTGCCGACAGCAACCTCTCGCTGCAAGGCTCACAGTGAGATGCCATCTGCCTGTGTTTCCCAGGGTGACCAGCAGCAGCTCTGTAGGCCCTCTACAGATGATTGCTCACATGCGCCTACTGGACAGGTGGCTGCCCAATGGCCTTCTGCTCCGGAATCTTCTCAGGCTCTGCTACCGCTTCGGGAGCAAGCTGGCCCCAAGGAACTTGTTAACATCCATGTGCCTTTTTCCCTTTCTGATCTATCTCAGATTATCCTTAAATTAGGTAGCCTCTCTGTTGACCCACAGAATTATATCAGGCAATTTAAATTTATTACTAATTTTTATGATTTACATTTTAAGGATGTGATTCTAAATACCACTCTCAGCTCACAAGAACGGAATCAGCTGTGGCAAGCAGCTCAAAAAGAAGCTGATCAGAGACATAAGGTAAACACTACTGATAATGACTCTGGGCCTATACCTGTACCAAAGCAGGACAAGCATACTAACTATAACAAACTTTTAAAACAGGTCCAGGAGGCTAATCAAAACCCAGCTGTGTTCCTAAATTGGCTTTCTAATCCTCGTGCCCCATGAGCAGTTCCAGCTTTGCGCACTGTGTTGGACTGCCTCCCAGCCCCTCCCTCCCCTGTGTGCCATGGTCGTCTCTGCCTTACACGTTTCTGGGGGCAGTCCCAGCCCACCCTTGTGTGCTAGTCCCAGCGCTCGCCCCACATGCACGCTGGGCGTGCTCTGCCGGAGTGCAGCAAAACAGCAGCTCAGTGACTCCGCTCAGGCATGCTATGTTTTACAATTTGGCTCCGCTCAATAGAAGCTATTTTTTTTATCACAATTCTCAAACCATTTAATCAAAGTTACTGGCCACCTGATAATTTTACCAGCCTTGTTTATCAATCAGCCTTCACCAATCTCGTGTTTAACAACTAAGATTATAAATTCCTTTTTGCTGGGAACCACTAGCTCTATTTCAAGACAAGGGTTTTCTTCAAAGTTTTATTTTATTTGTCTTGGTTCATACTACTGCAAATAACAACTTTAAAAGTAAATGTGTTCAAAATTTGACAGTATTAGATCAGTTTTGATAGATTTATTCATAAGATTGCTAAACCTTTACTGCAAAATGTTTCCATTAAATCCTTTTTAGACAGATTAAAGCCTTTTTTTGTTAATTCCATGTGGCACCTTAAAAAAAGCGGTATGCCATCCAGATAAAGCCTGCTCTCTAATCTAAAATGCCAATATTAAATTCCTACATACTTACTTAATTTTACTGTAGTCCAAATCCCAAACAAAAAGGCAAAACTTGACCTTCAAACCTTATAGAGATCTTAATATGTTTTTTCATATTTTTAACACTTGTGACACTTGGAATTCTGAGACAGGTAAACCTACACAAGGTGGAGCTACCTGGCCCCTCCATGGACCACGCTCAAATGCAGCAGAAGACATTGGGCAAAAAAATGCCCCTTCCTGGCATTCTTTGAGACCTTACTTCAGGGCTGCTGGACTGTCCTAGCCACCAAAGCGTGGGTAAGCCATCCTAACTTGTGGCCCTCACAGGAAATGTCGACACTGCCAGATTCGTCACCGACAGAAAATTGCTGCCAAAGACTGAGGGAGTTCAGGGCAACAACAGCCCCTTTAAGGTGTCTGTCTCAGATTCCAAGTCGACTAAAGTCTCAGGTAAGACATTCTCTATATTTGTGGACATACAGGCCATATATACAGAGTTCTTCCTGAGTATTCAGGCTGCTATATTAAGTCCTCAATCTCTGTGATAGGGTATTGATGGTCAACCTATGCCATTTACAAACAGGGCCTATTTTGTGCAGGTCCCAGTCCTAAATCTTAAAATGCCTTTTATACAGGCTGACTTAGACACACTGAGGCCTCAACAGCTTCCACCTGTTATCACTAGTAAACCTCTCCTCAGTGATATAAGACCACCCCCTTCCTTTCTTATTCACCAATTTCTCAGGTAACCCTGGTCAAGACTGACAGATACATTTTGTCTTCTCACTTTGGTTATACTTTTTCAGGATACATAAAAGCCTTTCCCACAACCAGGTAAACTGCTGATACACCCAGGTTACAGCGACCCATGCCTAAATCAAAGTTGCTAGACTGCCATCCTGGTTTCACATCACTCAAGCCCTAAATCTGATCATTCTGAGTGGTCATCTCATCTTCTGTCACCCACCCATCTCCGTTTCATGAAGGCCTCACAGCCACAGTTAACAGGCTAAGTCATGTGTTGTTATCCACTTTGGTTCCTAATTTCTTACATTCTATTAATGATCATTTTTACAGCAGGACTCTTGACAGTCTTTCCTAAAGACTCCCACATCATGCGTAAGATAATTTTCATAATGTTCTATATGATAACAGTTGCAGTTCTTTCTACCTTCCCTATACTGGTACAGCCACCGCCTTCCCTGCTCCCCCTATTTTTTCAGTTCAACTCCTGGACCAGAGACAAGTTTTATATACCTACCATCTTAACTTTTATGCTTTCACTTGGGGGAATAATCACCTCTCATAATATCATCTCTCCTAACCTCACAGTTAATTTTCAGAATTCTGCCTTACTGTGGAACATGTCTAAATCAAAGGCACCTTTCCTTCTACCTCACCTGGGTCCTTAAATATGACAGTGCCATGCCTCCGCATAACATGTTGTCTCTTTGTTTTTCCAGTCTGACATACATGCATTCACCAGTGAAGTTGTCCTGGCAAAAACACCTGGCACCAGTGTCTACCTGGGCAACAACCTTCATCCTGTCAACTCCCCTAGGCTCCAGTACAGCGCCCTCTGCCAGCAGGAAGTAGTTAAAGAGAGAAATCTTTGCCCCTTTTCATAATAATAATCATAAGACAGGATATGAAAGGGTTTTGGCCCAGACAGGACACTGTAGCCAGGAAAGCCTCAACCGGAAGCAGGAAGGCCCTATCTCCCCTGCCCTTAGGAAGTTACCTGTGATGCCATCTTCCTGCCCCTGGAAATTTACATATGGCCCCAAACCTAGGACCAATGGGCTACCTGTGCATCCCTAATGCCCGCCTTAGGTTCCACCCCAAACCGAGGCTATTTACATGCCCCCACGCCATGTGTCCGCCGGAGAGATCGCCGGATGCCAGCAGTGGGGGTGCCGGTCATCTCTCTCCGTATTCTCAGAATAAAAGCCACTTTTTATTTTATACTTCTCAACTTTTGGAAATATTTTTCATCTTTTGGAAATAATCCTAGCAGTTTATATTTCCCCTATTAACAGTGCTTTTGGAAGGCAGCATTTTCAGGTTGACACAGTCCAGTTTATCAGCTTATTCTTTTGGGGGTTCGTACCTTGGGGGTGCCGTCTAAACTGTGCCTAGGTCAGGGTCACCATGACTTCCTGCTGCAGTCCTTTCTAGAAGGTGCTGGTTGTGGCACTGCAGTTAGGGCTCTGGCCCATGGGGGGGTCAGTTTCCTGGTCTGTTTTGTGGGAAAGACCCTGGCTTCTTGGTTATTTGCATATAACCGTTCATTGTTCTAGCATGATTTGTTGGAAACAAGTCTTTCAATTATGAACTTTTTAGCATCTTTGTAAAAAAAAATCAATGGGCCATAAGTGTGGATTTCCCCTGGATTTTCTGTTCCACCCCATTGTTCTATGTGGCTGTCCTTATGCCAGTACAACACTGTCATGATCACTCTACCTTAACAGTAACCTTTGAAATAAAAGTGAGTCCTGAAACTCATTCCCTTTCAAAACTTTAGGTCCTTTGTGTTCATATATAAATTCTGAGGTCATCTTATTAATTACTTTAAAACTTTCTGCTCTTTCTGTCTGTCTGGCTGTCTGTCTGTGTTTTTGAGTCAAGGTCTCACTGTGCAGCTCAGGCTGGCCTTGAGCTCACTTTGTAGCCCAGGGTGGTCTCAAACTCACAAAGATTGTCCTGCCTCAGCCTCCCGAGTGCTGGGATTACAGATGTGCACCACCACGCCCGGCTTTTCTGGGATTTCATTAGGGATCGTATTGCATCTATAGATGAATTTGGAATTTGGTCTATAACTCCATGGCTGTAGTGTATCTGCTCATTTATTTAGGTCACCTTTATATCTCAGCAGTGTTTTCATACTTGGTGAACAAGTTTTACCGCTTCCTTTGCTAAATTTGATTCCGTCTTTCGTTTCCTTTTTATGCCATTGTGAATGCAATTGTTTTTTCTAATCTTATTTTGTGATTGTAATTTATGAAAACACAAATAGTAATCCAAGCACAAAATACAAGTAATTTGTCAGATGTGTGCTTTGTGAATATGCTGTGTATGTAGTGTCTGTGCCTTCCAACCTTGTTTATTTGTTCTTGTAGGTGTTTGTTTATGGCATCAAGTTCGTTTGTGGCAAACAAGTTTATGGCATCTATAAATAATGACAGATTTACTTCTTCCTATTAGATCTATATGTCTTTAATAGTTTCTTTTCCTTCTTGTACTTATTAGAGTCTCTTACAAAGGTTAAATAAAAGTGTTGTAAACAGTCATGCCTTAATCTCAATCATAGGAAAGAAATAGTCTTTAATTAAATACCATGCTAGCTTTAGTTTAGTTTTTTTTTGTTGTTGTTGTTGTTTTGTGGTTTTTTTTTTTTTTTTTTTTGTAGATACCCTTTATCAGGCTGAGGGAATCTCCTCTATTCCCAGTTTCTTTTTCTTTCTTGAGGTAGAGTCTCACTACATAGTGCAGGCTGGACTTGAACTTACTTATGTAGGCCAAGCTGGCCTCAAACTCACAGGGACCCTCCTGCCTCAGCCTCCTGAGTGCCGGGATTACAGGTGTGTGCCACCACATGCAGCTCTTCCTGATTTACTGGGCATTTTGTTCTTTTTTGTTTTAATGATGAATGGATAGTGGGTTTTGTCACATACTTTTTTCTGCATAGGTTGAGGTAATCATATTGTTTTCTCAATGTGATATCTTACATCTACTGACATTTGGGAATCAAATAAGTGGCTTCCGGGATAAAACCCAGTTGGTCACAGATGTAGGCCTGCTTATGTGTTACTAAATACATTTGCCAATGTCTTCTTAAGGATTTTTGTGTCTGTGTTGATGAATGACGTTGCTTTCTCATTTTCTTAATATATCTTTCTTGGTTTTGGTTATCAGGGTTATATTAACCTTGCAATAATGGGTTGGGAAATGTTCTTTTCTCCTTTGTTTCTCAAAGACATTTGTAGAGAATTGATGCTACCTACCTCTTTATTTTCTTCTTTGTTGGCCTTTCTGTGTGTGTGGGGGGGTACTGGGGATTGAACCCAGGGCCTTTGCACTTAGCTACATCTCCAGCCTTTTAAATTATTTTAAATTTTGTGGCAGGATTTTGGTAAATTACTAAGTTGCCTGCTGGGCTCAGATTTGCAGTCCTCCTGTCTCAGCCTCACAGAGAGCTGGGATAGAGGCATATACCACTGTGCCTTGCTATTCCCTCTTCTTTAAATGTTTAATAGGCTTCATCAGTTAAGTCTTGTGGGCCTGGACTTTTCTTTGTAGGAAGACTTTTAAATTACGAATTCAGATTCAGTGTTTTAATAGAGATTGGTCAATTCAAACTTTCTTTTCCTTCCTTCCTTTTTTTTTTTTCCTTTGAGACAGGGTCTTGCTCTGCAGTTCAGGATGACTTGAATTATTCACCATGTGGTACAGAGTGGCCTCAAACTTGCAGCAATCTTCTTGTCCCAGCCTCCTGAGTGCTGAGATTACAGGCATGTGCCATCATGCATGGCTCAAACTTTTTTTTTTTTTTTTACTTTTCTTTTTTTTTTTTTTATTTTGAAAGTAGTAAAATACAACAGAACAAGACAGAATAAAGCCAACTGAGACAGTTTAGTGAAATTGGTACAGAATTTCACAGCAGGTTACCGGGCTAACAGTAATAGGTATCACAGCATATTTCCTTATCTTTACAATAGTTGTTCTTTCAATCATGTATCTCAAAATAAAATGAAATACAGAACATTATAGAACTTATGAAAACAGAATATTGAATAGAGCAGTACCACTAATCAGAACAGAGCAAAACAGTAAAAAGAGATGGTAGAAGGAAATCCCCCTCATTTGCTATGGTCAGCCTCCCAGGAGATGCTCAGATTTCTGGTTCCCATTTGCTAACGGGGCGGGGGGGGGACAGGAGAAGGAGGGGGAAATGGGATGCTTGACTCTAGGCCTTGCACCAGTAGGCTCACTATTGCTTAGCAGGGAGGCAGGCTGCTTGCTTGGTTTCCCAGGGTCCTGAGTTCCAACATGGCGCGGATCTCAGGAGACGCTGGTGATTCTCCCCCTGGAAGGGCTGCAGTCTGCCCAGCTCAAACTTTCATACCAAAGACTATTATAGTAATTTGTGTGTTGACAGGAATTTGTTCATTTGGTCTGAACTGTTTACTTTGTTGGCATAATACCCTCCAAAGAGTCACAATAGTCCCTTGGATTATTTAGGACCCGTAATGTGTTCTACTCTGTCATTATTGATTTTGGCCATCTGTGTTATCTCTTCTTCTTGCCCATCCTTGCTGAAGATGTATTGATTTGTATAATATTTTAAAACCTCATAGATGTGCTAGCTTTGGCAACACATATACTAAAACTTTATAGAAAATAAAGAAGCTGGCTGTGGTGACCCATATGTGTAATTCCCACCCTTGAGACAGGAGGACTTCCGTGAGTTTGGGGCGAGCCTGGATTACTACATAGTGAGTTCAAGACCAGCCTGAACTACATAGTGAGATCCTATCTTAACAACAAAAGGGGCAGGGTGAGAAAATATATCAATGAGCCTTTTGTAGTTATCTCCACATTTACTGTTTTCTTTTTAAATTTTTTTTTGTCTTTTTCTTTTTTATCGGTCCCAGGATCGAACTCACGACTGCCAGGGATCAAACTCACTTCTGCCTGCTGCAAGGCAGGTGCTTATGCCGCTGAGCTAAATCCCCAGCCTCTTTTTTAATTTTTTAAGACAAGGTCTCTATGCAGTTAAGGCTGGCATTGGGCTCACTTTGTAGCCTAGGCTGGTCTTGAATTTGCAAAGATCCTCCTGCCTCAGCCTCCTGAGTACTAGGAGTACAGGAGTGCACCACCACGCCCAGCTCCATATTTACTAGTTTCAATAGTCTTCAGACCTTCCTGTGTGTTGAGCTACCATCGCACTTTTTTCATCTGTGGCATGAAGGATTGTTCGTCTGTCTTCCTCCCATGATAGATCTGCTAACAACAAATTCCTTCAGTTTGTGCTTATCCTGGGATGTCTTTATCTTTGCACTTAATTTTTAGAAAAATTTTAAATAAGAAATTTATCTTAACAGCAAGGTGTCGACTGATAGATAGCCTAGAATCAAATTCTGTTAAAGTAACTCACTACCACTTAAACACAAAACTACCCTACCCCAGTAGCCATATATATATATATATATATATGTATATATATATATATATATATGATTTTGAAAATTGTCCTTGACTTCACCATGACAATTTTTAAAATGCACTGAAATTCTCCAAACACAGCCCACAGGAACCCTTTCATGACAGTGGTTTGTTTTGCTTAAAGACATGTTGGAATAGAAAGACGAGCATCTGCAGGGATGGCCGGGATGCAGCAGGGGCTGTTTCCATAGGAACGGATTCCCCCCTCTCCTCTTCCTCCACTGGATGCTGATGGAAATAACAATAAATAAAAGGATTTGTGCATAAACACCGGTTTTTTTTCCTGGAGAGTAATGGGATGGGAAGGGGAAAATGAAGGACTAGAGAAAAGCAGCACCGGGCAGGCTGTGCTGGCTTCTTTCCTGTGGAGCTGGAGCCCTGCCCCAACCACATTCTATTTTTAGCAGCCGCTTCCTGTCTTCAACAGGAGCAGGTCAGGTGTGCCTTTGACCTTCACTTCCAGCGGGGCAGCGCTGACTGACTACCTGTCAGATCAGTATCCGCCTTGCGGACAGCTCTTATCTCGCCCAGCCAGGCGTTCCTCGGTTATTAAGTGGTGAATGCCTCTTAATTTTCCCCATTTTACATTTTATTTCTTTTAACTGACAGATGATTGTTTATATTTATGGAGCAGAACATATTTTGATCTCTAGCTAGATTATAAGGTGATTAAATCAAGCGAATTAACATGGCCATTGTCTCAGAAACGCATCTTTGTGGCTGGACACGGTGGCACACATCTGTAATCTCACCACGTAAGAGGCTGAGGTGGTAGAATCTTGGGGAGTTCGAGGCCACAGGCTGCATAGTGAGTTCAAGGCCATCTTGAACTCTATAGTGAGCCCCTATCTCAAAAATTCAACTTGGGGTGTGTGTGTGTGTGTGTGTGTGTATACTGAACACTTAAAATCTACCCTCTCAGTGATTTTCAATTACATAGTACATTATTATTAATCAAGGCACCATGTTATGCACTAAATCTCCTAAACATTCCTCCTGTCCCACTGAAACTGTACAGTAATCAGCTGTTCCACAGCCTCCACAAGGTGCCTAAAACTAAGGATAGCACTACCCTGAATGCTGCGTATACTTTTTTCCTGAACATACACATCTGTGGTAAAATTTAATTTATAAATTAGGCACAGGAAGAGATTCACAATAATCATAATAAATGCAACAATTACAGCAACACTCGGTGACGTAAGTTATGTGAATGCTCTTTCTTCCTCTCTCAAGCTCTCCTGTCCTCCTCCTCCTCCTCCTCCTCATGGTGACCCTAAGTGTGTCCCTCCGAGATGATGTGCAGGAGGTTACGGGCCGGGCACTGCGCGGCCTCAGACTCCTGGAAAGGGACACTGCATGCAGCATTGTGATGCTGCGGCCACGGATCTGGTACCCAGGAGGCTGCGAAGCGGGAAGTCACACTGTCGTGGCTGTCTTGATGTCCTGAAGGGTTCAGACGGTTCCCTTTCACAGTTATTTTGACCTTGGGGAATGAAAGTTGCAGGGTGCCAGAGCCGATGGGTAAGATGGAGGAGGATGCCGTCCTGTTTGGGGGCCCTACCTTTCCCTTGGGTGGCGCTCGATGGCAGCTTCACTGCACTTCTGGCCACACTTGGTAAAGACTCTGAGGAGAGAGGACTTGCGGAATGGAGCCAGGTGTGACTGTAAGCCCAGCACTCAGAGGCTGAGCGGAAGCACTGTGGTGAGTTAGGGGCCAGCCTGAACTACATAGCAAGACCCTGCCTCAGAAAATCAGCCAACCAATGAACCAAACAAACAAACAAAAAAACAAAGCCACAAAATGATGGATAATCATGTTGGAAGGGAAGATGGTTATTTTGAAGGGGATCCATGCAAAGGTCTCTTTTTGGTACATTTTTTCCTTTTTTTGAGACAGAGTCTTGTTATGTAGTGCAGACTACCTTAAAATCCTGGCCATCCTTGCCTGTCTTCAGTATATTTTTAAAAATTTATACCTTCATCCATGTATTTTAACCACACCTCGTATACAGCGTAGGCACACACTGGGCAAATTATGATTGGCAGCTCCTGGGTTAAAAATACAGGGCCTTTGCACAGAGCTACATCCCCAGCCCTTTTTTATTTTGAGATAGGATTTTGCTAAATTGTTAAGTTGCCAAACTGGGCTCGAACTTTCGATCCTCCTGCTTCAGCCTCTCAGAGTCGTGGGATTACAGTAACCACTTTCACCTTTTACCCTCCTCGACCTCTCCGACATGTGATCACTCTCTTCCCAAGACTCTTTTCTCTTTAAAATGACGCCCTCCACCTCCTTTTCCACTCCCCTCTTCCCGTGGCCTCCTCCTCCTCTACAGGCTCTGCGGCCCCAGGACACTGCGGATGCTGATTGCTGACGGAGAATTCGGTCCTCGATCTGTCGTTACCATCCAGAACCACCAGAGGGCGCGCCGTCCCTGCAAACGCCGCCTGCCTGCTCCCCTGAGCGGGCCAAAGGCTCAGCCACCCGGAGAAACCACCTCCCCAGGATTCTGAGCCCCGCAGGATCCTGGTTTCTGCCTTCCCTCCGGGATTTACAGCTCCTCAGCTAGGAAACCACCGCGATGCCACGGCAACTGCCGCTTCCCTCCTCTCTTCCTCCTCAGCCAGCTCTGCTGGATGATTCCAGAATTGCCCTCCAGCGCCAGGCTCCTGTGTGGCCCCTCGCCCCATCCCTGCTCGATTTATCTTCCAGGACAACCAGGTATGGTGGCTCACGCCTGTAACCCCTGCGAGGCTGAGGCAGAAGGGCTCTGTGAGTTAGAGGCCAGCCTGAACTACAGAGTAAGAGTCAGTCTCAAAAGCAAACAAAATTCCAAGACCGCCCCTTGGCCCTGCATGCCCACAGCAGGAGAAGTAGGAGTGGTACCCAGACAGGAGCCCGCGAGGTCCCCGGCAGCCCGGGATACTCCCCTCAATCATCAGGTGTCCCTGTAGGCTGCCAGACCCTGGGCCCACCGCCATCTCCCTCTCTGCTGGGAAATCCTCCTTTCCCAGCTCAGCCCACCGGGACTTCAGATAGGCGCTACAGCAGCCCCCAAACCTGGGCCACCCATGCATTTTAACAGACGTGTTCATACGAGCGAATTTCAGTGCATCCTTTAAAAAAATCGAATGTCTGCAGAATGCATAAGGAAGGTAATCTCGCAGCCTCTGCGTGGTGATTTTTCCCTCAGGGGCCAGGGCCGCAGCCTGGTTCTGGGCCTTGCCCTCCCACCAGCCCCAGAACCTGGCCTCCGTTTCCTCTTCCCCTCACCCCTGCACCTTTCCCTTCCTTCTGCACCCTTCCTCTGTGCTTCTTACAGCCTACTGCCCTCGCCTCTGGATCGGAGCCCACAAGGAAGGGGGGGGGCCAAGGTCACAGCGACCTCCACGGTGTCTGTGCCGCTGGCATCTGACTGGTGCTGGGCAGAGCCCATTCCTTGGCATCTCCTCGCCTTCCTCCCCCCTTGGCTGCCTCTCTACTCTCCTGTGTCCTGTCAGGAGCAGCGGGCCCTGTTCCCAGCTCTCCATTTGCAAGGCCTCGCCGGGCGATCTCAACCCAGTGCTGAGGCTTTAAGAGATGCTGTACTCTCAGGAAGACCAATGTGCTCCTCTGCGTCATTATATTATAGAACACCTGAGGGGGGAACTGTATAGAGAAAAAAGGGTTGTTTGGGCCCTTGGTTCTGGAGATCCAAGGTTGAGGGGCTGCAGCTGGTGGTGGCTTTCTTGCTAGCAGGGTCCCTGAGACAGGACAGGGTGCCGTGTGCCAAGAGACAGAACACACACACACAGATCTTTTGGTCTCTCGCTTTCCTCACAGCCTCCAGAATTCAACTGCAGGCGTTCACCCCCAGGTGACTCCGGGGATCCTAGACCCCCAAAGGCTCTGCCTCCAAGGCGTAGTCAGATCAGCTTTCCACCCTCTTGATACCTTAACACACCCAGCCCACCGTCCAATACTCCCCGAGGCTTCATATCCAGACTCCTGCACACTTCTCCGATTTACAGTTGTCTTGTTCAGTTCCTCTGTCTTCTCAACGCCATTGGTGTTTTTGGTTTTTTGCTCCATCACAGGTGAGTGTGGTAGCCCCCCTGGAAACCCAGCACTCGGGAGGCTGAGGCAGGGGAATAGAAAGTTCAAGACCAGCCCGGGCTGCGTAGGGAGACTCCATTTCAAAAAAAAATTAAGTCTCTGATGCATGTAAATATTTCAGAGTGACCATTTTTTTTTGTAATTCTGCCAGTTAATGCTTTGTGTCTATTTTAAGCTATTTGTAAACTGTACTCATTAGAATTGTTCTATTTTATATGTTTTCAGGAAACTGAGCTTTTTACCACAATGCTTACTATCAATCGACCTATCGTATCATCTTGTTGCTTTTTTCCTTAAAGATATCTTGGTTTTCAAGATCTCAGGTTCCAAAGGGGAAGTAAAATGGATCAGGGTTCGATATGAGTAGTGTTAATTCCCCGCAATAAATGTATTGACTCTGTATTATAAACATGTATCATAAAAGTGACAAAATATCTCTTCTCCCCTATCTTTCTCTTGAGGAAGTTTTATCTCCAGCCTAATCAGGAAGTAGGATAATTCATAAACTATTAGTAAAGTTAAATTAATGACTATTAGTTTTATATATATATATATATATATATATATATGTTTTGTTTCATTTTGTTTACAGTACTGAGAGCCTTCATACTAAATTACACCCCAGTCTTTTTAAAAATCTTTATTTTGAGGGCCTGGTGCTGCACGCCTGTAACCCCAGCACTTGAGGCTGAGGCAAGAAAGTCACCACAAGTCTGAAGCCAACCTGGGCTACATGACAAGACCTTGTCTCCAAAATATATGCATATATTATTAGTAATATTTTTTGATACTGGGAATCGAATTCAGGACCTTGCAGCACTTGCCAGGCAGGCATTGTGCTGCTGAGCTATATCTCCAGCCCTCCAAAAATTTATTTTGAGACAGGATCTTGCTAAGTCACAAAGTTGCCCAAGCTGGATTTAAAGACTTGTAATCCTCCTGCCTCAGCCTCTTAGAGTATCAGATTTACAGGCCTGTGTCACAGTGCCCAGCTGGACTCCTCTTCACATAGGAAAGGAGTCCCTATAGGAAAAGGAGAAAGTGTGGACAGAGCCACACATGCAAGGGGCTGTCACCTGAAGCAGGAAGCAGATGATGTGTCTAGGAGCCAGGGGATACCGGTGCTGGCCAGCAAAACAGTGCAAGCCAGGGGGGAGCCTGAGCATTCTCCCACAGCCCTCAGAAAGTATCCATGCCTCCAGGACCTTGGCCTTGGACCTCTGGGCCCCAGAACTGTGAGAGAGACTTCTGATGCCTCGGCCACTCATGCTTGGTTCTTTGTCACCAGCCCTAGGAAGCTAATGGCCCTGCCCAGTGTTGGAGAACCAGCCTGTGGATGGCCTGTCCTTCAGTCCTCGTCAGACACTATGGGTCCTCTTTCCCCTGAGACCCCAGTGCCAAGTCCTTTGTAAACAAGTGCCAGAGCCCTCAGGTGGCAGCTGGAGCTCAGAAGCCAGCACTGCAGGGTCACAAGACCTAGTGGCCACACCAAGATGGAGGCTGGGGTCCTCTCGTCAGGCAAAAGCCAAGTCTTGGGGGGCCCAAAGCGGGGCTCCCTGAGGGCCAATCTTGGGGGCTTCATCAGCCAGACAGGGTGCCAGGTGGGAGGTGGCATGGGGTGCAGGCTCCCCCCTCAGCCTTCCCCTGGTCTTGTGTTGCATTTCTCTGCCCCAGACTCCAGCCTGGCTCCTGCTCCATGCCCATCGCCCCAAGACTGGGTGCTCACTCATCTTCTGCTGCAAGCCCCTCCTGGGCCCCGGTTGCTCTTGACCTTAGTGAACCCTGGTTCCTGGGCCTCCACCTTGACTCAGGCAGACCTGGCTCCCTGCCCCATTCCCTCGGGCTCTGCTCCTGCCCTCGCCCTCAGCTCCCCTCAGGAGGCACAAAGCTAATCAGGCTGATTATGGCCGAGCTCTCCTTGGCTCCAATGCGCAGTAAATTTCCTTCGCTGCCTGGCTCCCTGCGAGTGGCGCCTGTTGTCAGCTGGCTCAGCTTTGGACGCCGCCACCTCCCTCCACCCGCCCCAACACACCCGCTGTATCATCACAGATGAATCAGGCCTGCTGGGGTGGAGGTGTCATTAAACAACATCTTCAGAATCATCTCTGTCACCATCAGCTGCAAAACTCAGTTGAGCCTCCAGGGTTCTTAGTGCGGGAGCCTCTGTCCGCTTAGTGTCTGACGGGGGAGACTGAGGTTTACAAGTTGCTTTGGGAAATGGCCCCTCCTCCCCAGGTCCCCAGGGTAGGGAAGTGGCCTCAGTCATAGCTTATGTGGCAGGAGGTGATCCTGGGCCCTCCGATCTCATGTCCTACTTCCCCACCCTCAGGGTCTCTGGTGACAGCAGGTGACCTGAAGAGACCCAGAGGAGCAGGAGGCTGTGTCTGTTCTCAAAGCCAAGGCCCCTGGGAAGAAGAAGTAAGCTGACTACCCCTTTTGCCTTGATCTTTTCCAGAGAGAGAGAGAGAGAGAGAGAGAGAGAGAGAGAGAGAGAGAGAGAGAAGAGACGGGGGGGGGGGAGGCTTGACTGTGGGAGGAAAAACAGGAAACTTTGCTGTGATGAGTTTTGATTCAATTAAGTGTAAGGCACATCCCTAACACTGGTGCAGACCGCGCTGTGCTGTGGGGGGCAGAGGGCTAGAGCCCTGCCTCAGCCTCCCACGGGGAATGGAGGGTGATGGCGTAATAAGAATGCGAGGGAGCCTCGGAGGAGAGAGACCGATTGCTAAGGTGCCTGTCCCAGAAGGCTTCCTGGAGGAGCTGGGAAAGCTAGAGGAAGGAGCTGCCGTGGGAGGGCGGGGCAGTCTGTGCAAACGGGGTGTGGGATGGAGGGAAAGATGGTTCCCCAAGTCGGGGATCTTGAAAATCATGAGGAGGAGTGTGGAGTTCTCTTTAATAGAAGGGCAGGGGCATTAGTGCTCTGAGCAGAAGCACAGACCCTGGGCAAGGACTCCGCATGAGAGTGGGGTGCAGGGAAAGCAGCCTGGGGCGCGCAGGTGGATGAACAGGCAGGGCCCGAGACAAGGCCTGTGCAGACAGCCACAGGCAGTGACGCCGAAAGGCACAAGACGGAAGCACAGGTGCCATGGTCAGCGGTGGCTGGGAGGTGGCCCCCAACTTCTGCTCTGCCTTTGCCCCCCAGACAAAGCCTCCTCTCTGGGCCTCGGTGTGTCTGCTCCAAGAAGAGACTGAGTGAGCCAGGCTGGGGCGCGATGTGAAGGAGGAGATGCAAGCAACACAGAAGGTGTGAAAATTCCATGGTGAATGTTTAAATCTAAAAATTTATTACAGTAAAAGATGGTGCCATGGGCCCCCCTCAGTACCTCCCCCTTCAAACACACTCACCCCATCATCCTTGCCACTTTCTGAAGCAGCTCTGGATTCTCTTCCCTGAGTAGCCTTAGGAGGTGTGATAAAAAATGCAGGGAGCACTCCTGCCCAGTGCCATGCCACAGAAAGGCAGTTGGCACTGTGTCCTCACCCACCTAGTCATCAAATCGAGCACCTTGTGATTTCCGGCTCTTCGACAAAGTCAAAACGATCGTGAAAGGAAAACGTTTTGAATCAGTTCAGGCCATGGAGGCAGCCAACAGTGTAGCTACAGACCCTCAGGAAGAGGATTTGCAGAGCTGCTTCAGAAAGTGGCGACAGCGATGGGGTGTGTCTGGGGTGAGTGGAGATTCTGAGGGTGACTCATGGCAATGTGTCTTTTACTGTAAGACAGCTTAAAAATTCAAATATTTGCTGTAGTTTTTCATTGCACTGCTTAAATGTTTCTTTTCCTCTCTCCATTCTTCTTTCTCCCTTCTCTCCTCCCCTCCTCTCTCCCATCCTTCCCTCCCACACTTTCTCTCCTTTGTTTGTCTTGTCTTTTCTTTTGCTCTTTTTCTTTTTAGAGCTTTTTACATGCCAGGCCTAGTTAATCCTGAGAAGACCTGCCAGGGAACCATAAAACTCATGATCAAGAGCACGGGCTGGACTCCCAGACTCCCTGGTTTGCAACCTCAGCTCCACACCCAATTGCTCCAGAGGTCAGCGGAGCTGTGGGTTGGTGCTCGCCTCAGACACCCTCATCCTGCTGAGTGGGACCTCGGTTTCTGCGGCTGAGACAGCAGAGCTCCGGGGGAAGTTACTGCCCCGGACTGTATGTAAGTGGCTGGACCCCGACAGCCTCTGCATTTGGCTGCTTTCTTCTGTCCCTCCAGCCAGCAGAAGGGACGAGAGAGCGAGAAGCGGCCGAGGTAGCTAGAGGTTCCAGTCTGGCTGCTGCAGACTGGTCTGCGGCGCTGTGGAATCGCCTTTCCATGGCCACCAGTGCCAGGCCCGGAGGAGGCAGACCTTGACCGAATTCAACCCAATTTTAGCAGCTGGGGATTTTAATGGTAAGTGTGGGGATGAGCCAAGTGTGGGTGAAACACTGCTGGTGGCAGGCAAGGAGGGAATGACCAGACAGCCGCCAGTGCCTGCAGATGCTTTGTGACCACGAGGGGGCAGCAGAGCCCAGGCCCTGCCTTAGAGCCGACTGCAAGGCCGAGCTGCTCCAGCGCGAAACGCGTCCTGAGCCGCCCGGCCCGGGTCCTAATAAGCCAGCTCCAAAATGTTAAGCATGACAGCGATGAAGGGGACTTTAGAAGCGACCTGGTTCTTATCTGGTAGAGAGCCAGACGGCATTCAAAGGCTCATATGATTTCGCCCAAATCGAAGCCGGAGAACTGATGGCAAAGTCGGAATTAATACCCAGGGCCCTGCCTCTAGCGCTACGGAGACAAACGTGAGCCCATTTCCAGGAGGAGCATGCGGAGAGTCCGTGCTCCGTCTGGAAGTGAGTCCCTGCCTCGAGCAAGAGCAGGCGAGGCTTGCCTCATGACACCCTGGGGTGGCAGATGGAGTCCTCCTGACGCCCCTCGGCATCTCTAGACCCCAGCGCAGCAGGGCCACTTCCCGTAGCGAGGAGGAGACCACGCCGGCGGCGGTGGCGAGACACCCGACCGCGCACAGTGTGACAGGAGGAAGGGCTGCGAGCCACGTAGAGTAACAAAATTGCTTTTATTTTTAGTTTTTATAAATATATATATATAGTATTTGCTAATGACAAAACAGAACCCATAAAAGCAAGAACGTTAACAATACTTATGTTCTTGGAAATGCAAAGATGAACGCTGCGTGTTTTTAAACAGATGCTAGGTTCTTGGGCACCGGGGCGCCGGGCGCTGTCCTTGGTCCTGAACGCGGCTGACTGCAGCAGGAACCTCTGGCGCGCGGTGGGAAGGCCTCCTCTGGCGTGGTGCGCAGCGACCCCACGGGAGCTGCTGCGTGGTCTCTGTCCTCTTCCTCCTCGGTCAGCGCAGGGCTGCGCCTCATCTGGTTCCCAATGCTCGCAGCGGGGTCACTGCTCCAGTAGGATGACCGGGTGGAGCTCTCACTCCCGGACCCGCAGCGGCCTGCAAAACTCCTTGTCCTTACAGCTGGGTGCCTACCACCTGGGGCCTCTGAATACGGACCTGGAAAGAGAGGGAAGCTCTGAGCGCGGGAGGTTAAGAGGCTTGGGCCTAGAGAAGTGCTCGGCTTAGAACTTGTTCTAGAACCTGAAGCCTGGCACCAAAATATATGACTTCCTTCCTTCCCCATCCTGGCATCTGGCCCGAGGTTTCACGTCTGCCCCAAGGCTCCCTGTCTAGAGTACAGTGTCACTCGGTGCTCCTTCTGTCTCACTGCAATATCAGTGTGGTCATCAAGGTTAGTCTCCTTTTAACCCAGGGACCAGTCTTGGCCTTAGTCACCATGCGATGCTACGCATCTCCTGAGGGCTGCGGTGGGAGCAAATGAGTCTTATCATGCCTTGATGGTTGGTTGGTTTTAATTTTGAACTATATATCTAAGTAAAAACAATACTACAGATAGTGTACTTCCTCCAGAGAGCAATGTTTAAGTTGCATATTTTTTCTTCATATCTGTCTATTCAATTTTGCTGAGCCATTTGGAAGTCAGCTGCAAATATCACGACAGCCGCTCCGTCAGCCCTTCTGTGCATATTCCCAAATGGTATCACAAAGGAATATTCAAACTTGGAGTACTGGACTCTCTTCAGTTCCATCCTAGACTCTTTTAAAAATATAAGGCTGGGCATGGAGGCACAGGTCTGTAATTCCGGCACCCAGGAGGCTGAGGCAGGAGGATCACTGCAAGTTGGAGACCAACCTGGACTACAAAGGGAATTCAAGGCCAGCCTGAACTACATAATGAAACCTTGTCTCAAAGAGACAAAAACAAACAAACAAAACCTCCACATTTTTATTTCTTTTGTTTTTGGAGACAGGGTCTTACTTTGGAGCTGAAGCTGGCCTTGAACTTACGGTGGCCCTTGCTTCAGTCTCCCTAGTGCTGGGATCACTGGTATGTACCACCACACCCAGCCAAAAACACAGTATATTTTTAAAGCATGAGTTGGTTCCAGATGAAAAGACAAAAAAAAAAAAAAAAAAAAAAAAAAAAGGAAAGAAAGAAAGAAAGAAAGAAAAGTCAGTGAGTGAAATTTGTTGTATCTACATATGGAGAAAATAGTTACCAAAGATTCTTTAGGCTGAATGTGGCACATGCCTGTGATCTCAGTGCTCTGAGGCTGAGGCAAGAGGATCACAAGTTGGAGCCCAGCCCGGGCAACTCAGTGATTTAGTGAGATCCTATCTCAAATAAAAAAGGGTGAGGCTGTGGCTCAGTGTGAAGGGCCTGGTGTCAAGCCACACTGCTGAGAGAGGATTTCTTAGGTTGTTATAAAAGTTAGATACTGGGTAATTCACTGTATGCAGGGATGATATTTGGGGGTAGGTAGCGAAGGGTTGAGGGAGGGACTGTGGTCATATCCACAGCTGACTTCCAAACGGTTCAGCAGACATTGAAGAGACAGAAGTGAAGAAAGAAAATTTGCACCTTAAACTCTGGAGGAGTTATACAAGTATGTACTGGGGGAGGTATACAAGTATGTACTGTAGTATTGTTTTTATTTAGATGTGTAGTTCAAAATTAAAATCAACCAACCAACCACCATCAAGGACGTAAAGTGCGGGATGGAACCCCAGGGCCCGAGGCCTCAGGGTCTGTGAAGGCAGAGTCCACGTCGCTCAGGCTTCCTATGGAGTTACACTAATTTCCTGGCAGCTGGGTCTAGGGACCAAAGGCCGGACCAAATGAATCATCAGTGTGACTTTGCTTTCCTGAAGGTCATCACACATGGGAAGGGGGATGCAGGCTCAAGGGAAAGGAGGCCAATCTCCTGGCCATGCTACCTTGGCTCTGGAGTCCACGTTGTCCAGGGAGGGCTGGAAGTTACCGTAGATAGAGTCCAGATGTGCAAAGTCTAGAGGAGACGGAAGCCCCGCCGAGACAGATGGTTAGGACAGTGAACGATCCTCTCACCCTCAAAGCCCACCCAGAGAAACAGAACCACTGAAAATGGGGCAGATTATCTAAACCAGTGGTCCCAAACCCCTGGGCATAGGCCGCTGTGGGTCTGTTAGGATCCAGGACACACAGCAGAGGGTAAGCTACATTCTCAGCCTGTTTTATTTTTTATTTTGAGACAGGATATTACTAACTCTCTAAATTGCCCAGGTTGGGCTCATGCTTGCGATCTTCCTGACTCAGCCTCCCAGAGTTTTAGGATTACAGGTGTGTACCACCACGCTCTCTGATTGGCTCCCAGATGATTTAAAGATAGGAAATAACACTTCTCTTCCCACTGTTAAGCCCTGGCATCCTTCCCTGTGCCTCCTCTGTGTGTCCCCATGCTCTGAGCCACTCAGCCCAGTGGGCATTGCCAATACCTTCCCTGATGTCAAAGTTAGCATTCCAGATGGTTCCAGGGATGGATCTGCCACCGTCTTCGTACCACTTGAACAACTGAGACACTCTGAACTTTTCTCTATTGACAGAAACACCAGAGACCTCATTATGCCCAGGGAGCAGGGATAAGGACAGGGGGACAAGCCACGGGGACAAGCCATCAAGCGGGGAGAGACTGACAGCACCGAGAAGGGAGGAGTATGTGGCGGGGCTGGGGGGCTCACTTTTTCGCCACTCTCCTGCTGTGCAGCGCAAACACCAGGAGGATGACCAGGATCAGGAGCAGTACCACGGCGCTTGCACCCGTGAGCCCATACACCAGGCTCTTCTGGATGCCCCACTCACAAGTCTCCCCCTGGTACCAGTGAGTAGCTGTGATCAGGCAGCTGAGAACAGAGAGGACGGAGGCGGAAAGAACAGTCAGTACCTGCCTTGGACCCAGCTGGGACCCATGCGTGCCTTAAGCCCTGTTCCTCTCCTCCCTGGACCAGCAGGGGAGCCCCTCCTACAGGAAATGATCCCAGAGTGACTCGGGCCTCTGCTCATGAGGCTCCTGCTTCCAGCCTGGTGCTGGGCAGCTGGTGACTCTGTTTAATTCAGTTTCAGCTGGCAAAGCCTCTCTGAGGCTGGGCTTGGCAGGTTCCCCACTCCCATGGCTAAGTGGCCACCTTTGGTACTCTGTGGCAAGGAATGGGGTTCTGATGGGGTAGGGGGCCTAGGAGCTTCCTGAAGCTCGGGTCTTCCTTTGCTCCCTCAGATCTTGCCGATATCCTCAGCCTTGTGCAGCACAATAGGACACCAGTTCGGGCAGCTCTGGAGTCATCCAGGGGCTCTTCCAGTCTTGGCCGTGGGGCTCTGCCGCGCAGGTCCCTCTGACCCCAGTGTGATTCTCTTGGGACTGGATGCAGTCAGGACTCTGTGACCTCAGCCTGCAGGCAGCATCTGACTGAGCCCAAAGGTGGGGGCTTCCCTGCAGCCAGGGTGGGACACTCACTTGCACCGGGGGCCACTGGGCTGCAGCTGGCACTGGCCATTGTGGCAGTCCAGGGAGACGTTGAAGCCAGTCATGCAGGGCGTGACGCAGTACGGTTTCTGGTCCTTGTACTCCAGTGTGAAGTAGGCAGCGTAGTCCTTAGCCAGTTCCCGGCATTCCTCTGTGAGGATGAGGAGTAGCAGCTGTGGTCAGGGCCCGGGAGCTTGGTGGGGCTGCTGCCGGGGGTCCCCCGTCTCCAGCCCTCCCCCAAACCATGAGAGCAGCACCCACCTTCAGGATCATACTGGACAATGGGGGTACTTGACACCGTGGTGGCAGTTGAGTTGAAACACAGTAAAAAGTCTGTGAAAGAGACACAAGAAGCTTCTTGGAACAAGTCACCTTGCACCCTCAGGGGCTGAGGCATGCGGGGCGGGGGGCTGTGGGTCCTGCCCTGCCCTGCCTTGCTGTCCTCCCTCGCCCCAGCGTGACAAAGATGAGAGCCCAAGGGAGCACAGGGTTTACCCAAGCAGCTGTTGTTGCTGTTGCTTATTTGCACTTGGGTCGCTTTCACGATTTTCTCCATCACATCCTGGGAGGCCCTCTCCAGCACCTGCCTGTACTCCGGAGTGTAATTGGTCCTCAGGAGGACTTCGTGCTCCACCACTACACTGCCAGGCCTGTAGGGCGGGATAGGGGGAGCAACGGCGTGGTTGGGCCTCGTCCCTGTTCAGCCCTGATGCTCACCCTTCCCGCCCCTTCTCCAGACAGGCTCTGCCTCTCTGTGCCCTGGGAGCTCAGGGATGAGACAGAGAGAGAGAGAGAGGACAGGACAGGAGGTCAACACCAGGGGCTCCTACCTATCTATCGGTATCCAGCTATCTATCAAAATGAAGCCTATGTTGCACAGAACGGGCTCAAGGAATCCTCCTGTCTCAGCTTCCCAAGTCACTGGGACTACAGGTATGTGCTACAACACCTAGCTTTCACCGAGATATAATAAATCATTTCTGCCTTCCTTCTGATATCTAATACAGCACAGATGCTGTGTGAATAGTTGTTCTCCTGTGTCATAGGGACTAACAAGGGAAGAGTGTGCACATGCTCAGTACAGACACACATGCCCACCACATCTCCGCCTCCTAGAATATTTTCAGTCTGCAATTTGTTGAATCCATAGGTGCAGAGCCACAGATAGGGAGGACTGAGGTACATGCACAGCCTCTGGGATCATAGGATTGCAGTAACCCGTAGACTAGCATCAGAGGTAGAAGACTGAGGTGCTCTTTAGTTCAAGGCTGCCTTTCACGGTAAGTGACACCCCATGACCAGGTGTCTCCCTGTGGCCTGGGGGATGTGGACAGTGTCCCCTTTAGGTCACTGTCCCTACAGAGAGTGTGACCTTGGTGTAGTCACTGAGCCTCATGGGCCTCAGCATCCTTGTCTAGAAGGTGAGGAGCTGGAACCCTGGCTCCCCAAGCTCTTCCCCACCTTTTGGAAATGGCTGATTCTCACTGCCTTTCCCACTCCCAGATCTCTCTGGAGCCACCTGCTGGACAAAGAGCCATATTTCTCTCTCTTTTTAAAAAATGTAGTCCTGGGATTGAACTCAGGGCCTTTGCACTGAATTATATATATCACCAACTCCCTTTTATTTTTTATTTAGATACAAGGTCTTGCTGTCACTAAATTGCCTAGGCTAGGCTAAAATTTGTGACCCTCTTGTCTCAGCCTCCCATAGTGATGGGATTATAGACCTTGTGCCATCATGCCCAGCTAAGGTCTGGATCCCTCAGAGTTCAGCATCTCCTGTGTCTGGCCTGAGGGTGTGGGATAGATACCCATGCCCACATGATTTGTAGCCAATAGTCACATGATTCACGTGGTGATCAGAGAGATGCTGGTTCACATCAGCCCAGGAACACCTCCAGGCAGCCGGCTGAGACCAGAAATGTCAATAGAGCCACTCTTTTCCCTAGGGATCCCATCCCTCCCCTTTCCTGAGGGACAGAGGGACAGACAGAGCAAGGACTAGGGCCAGCCCTATAAGTACCCCCTCCACCCTGAAGACCAAAGGGAGGCCTGTGGGGGTCAGGAGAGTCCAGTTCCGGAGAGGAAGAGGAAGTGCTATTCTCAGAGCAGCAGCTGCAGGCTGCCTGGCCTCCTGCAGGCTGTGAAGCCCTGGGAGGGCCTGAGGGGAGCCCCGTCCTTCCCTCGCAGGTGTGGAGGGTGGTGGTGAGCTGTAGGCAGGCTTGGTTTGCTTTGGTTTTCATGACTTTTCTTGTTTGCTCTCAGCTATAAGCTCCATACCAAAATGATTAATCGTGAGTCTGATAATCCTGAAGAAGGGATCTTTCCCTCACAGTGCAGGGGCAGCGGGAGGACCACACCAGCCTCGGCCCACACCACTCAGGATCTCACACAGCTAGGGTGGGGGGCAGAATCCCAGGCAGCAGGCGGCAGAGACCGCAGGACAGGGAGGGTTGGGCAGTGCCTTCCTCATGCTGCAAGGTCTGGCTTCACCTCTGAGGCCCCTTCAGCTGGGTTTTCTAGGATGTCTTATTCCCAGCAGGACAGGGTTTCCACTTGAACCTTGGCTCTCCTATTCCATAATTGAGCCCTCCACAAGCCCTGGCATTGCTCTGTGCCTCACTCTCCATCTGTACAATGGGAACCATCGTGCCGGTGGCCTCCCTCAGTAGGAGATGTGTGTGGAGCCATAGCTGAGGGGTGTTAGGGCCCACTTGTGGGTCCCTGCCCCCGTCCATATGTTGGCACTCAAACCTCAGAATGTGACTGTCTTTGGAGATGGAGTCTTTAAAGTGAGGCTGTCAGGGTGGACACTAATCCAACTCAACCGCTTCCTGGTATGAAGAGGTCATCTGGACCCAGTTTATGCCTGTGATCCCAGCACTCTGGGAGGCTGAGACAGGAAGACCGAGGGTTTGAGCCAGGGAGAGAGGCTTCAGGAGAAGCTGGTCCTGCTGGCACCTTCACCTCAGACTTTCAGGCTGCAGGGCCATGAACGGTAACTTCCTGTCACATAAGCTCCCAGTCCATGGTCCTCTGTCCTGGCTGCCGCCCTGCCCAGGCTAACACAGGCAGCAGCATGAAAATGGTTCTTATCATCATCGTCTGCACTCCAAGACCTCTTCCTGCCAGACCCAGATACTCACCTCAGCCTTGTGATGTTGACCCCTTCATACTCAGGGATTCCGGCGTAAATCTGATTCATCTGAAAGAAGAGGGCCCTGCATCATCCTGGAGATCCCACCTTTGGGCCTGCCAGGCCTTTCCATGGACAGAAAGCACCTCTGGCACTGTCCAGTCCTCAACCCCCCTGCCTGCAATGCAGTGCCTTTCCAGAGCCCAGCACCACCCTGGTACCACCCCTACTGCAGCCCCTCAGGCAAGCTCCCTGGTAACCCCAGAGGGCATGGAGGAGCTGAGAAATTCACACGTATCTACCAGGAAAGCAGCCCTCAGCTGCTTTCTGTGCATGTGTGAACACATGGCACTAGGCACTGAACCCAGGGTCTTCTCACCAGCTACATCCCCAGACAGCACCCCCCTTTTAAATTTATGATGGAGACTAATAAATCACCCAAGTAGGACTCAAATTTGCACTTCTCCTGCCTCAGCCTTCCAGAGTTCTGGGTCTACAGGCCTGCATCACCGCACCTGGCTTCTTTCTTAACATCTCTGGCTCCTCCCTGGCGGGGAGGGATTTGCTCTCCCCGGATTACCTGATCTGTGAATGTGGTATTGAAATTCTTGAATTCTTCCGAAGACCGGTTCTCCAGCTTTGTGTTGTACTGCTGACTGGTCACTGTCACAGATAGATCCATGAGAGCAGCGACCGACCGAGGCACAGCTGAGGGGAGAGGGCAGCACTGTTTACCGAACCAACACCCCATGGGCTCCCTACCGAGGAGACCTGTACCCACGCCCCAGCGCCGGGTGGAGGCAGAGACCTGGGCCTCGTGTCCTGTCCTGAGAGGCCTGGGGCCTCACTCACCCATCTCCATGCCGTCGACCACATCTTCACATTTTGGCCCATGGAAGAGGATGGTGCACTGGCACTTGAGCCCATCCCAGGAGCCTCCGTTGTGGCAGACGTTGGCCACGTACTGACACCGATCTCCCTCAAAGTTGTCGGGGCACTCGCAGGCCTCCCCGTTCCATTTCCCACCATTGAGGCAGCTCACTGGAAGACACAGATGGCACAACACGTCAGAGCCTGGAACCTGGTCCCGAGGACAGCGGCACGACACCCCACTGCACCAGGCAGGAGGAAGAGGCAGAGACAGGCTAAGAGGCCGGGCCGGGGTCCAGGTCCAGGTGGGCTTGACCCAGTCCTAGACTCCAGTTCCTGTTACTTCAGCCCAAAAATGTGAGCAAAGACAACTGCGGGCCTGTGCCAGGGGAGAGCCGAGGGAAGGGAGACGGGAGACAGAGGCCGGGAGAACCCGGGGGAAATGACCCCTGAGGCTGCACCACAAGCGCGGTCCTTCAGTGCCTGCTTCAGAAGAGCACCACTGGACCTTGTTGCTTTGAGGGCTAGTTGGCCTTCCTGTTTGGTCTCCTAGCATGGGAGGTGTGTAGGGTTTAAACAGCCAGCAAGTGCTTATGGACAACTCGACTGTCCACGCTGATCAGCCGAGAACATCCAAAGCTCTGTTCTCTTTGGCTTTCCTTGAAAATCGCTGTGCCTGTGTAGATCAGAATCCAGGTGTGTTTGTTCTGGGGAGGTACACGAGGTAGGAGTACCCTCTGCAGAGACGTGCCACACCTCTGACCTCTGATCTCAGCAAGAGGGGACACAGCCATGACAATCACATCACGCAGCTGCTGTATTTCATCCAAGACATTTTGGAAGCATGGACAACATAAGCCAAGGGTCCTGGGCAAACGGGAGACCCGAAAATCCTTAATCAGCTCATTCCCTACCCTTTTCTCCCCCTCTTTCTCCTTCGGGCATTACTGAGGGTGCCCAGGCACAGCTAACAAGAAGCTACGAAACGATTTCAGAAATGTTTAAAAACATTTTTCCTTCTTTGAGTATAGGAAAAAAAAAATACCAATCCCGACATTGTTGATAATTAAGATTATGGCAAATTACACTGAAATTGTAGTTGCAATAGTTTGCTTTCAAGAACTATGAGAATCTGTTAATGTAACTATTAAATTAAAAGTAGCTTGAAAAGATGTTATATATTCATAATTATGCTGTCCCACAAACATTGGCAGTTTTGCTGCCAATGAATACTTCTGATACTTTTCTGTGTTACATCAAAATATTTTTATGGTTTTTGTCTATTGTAAAGGGAGCAAAGTTTCTTTTTTTGTGAATAGATACTTTTTTTTTTGTACCAGGGATTGAACTCACAACATCATGCTTGCCAGTCAGGCACTGAGCTAAATCCCCAGCCCAATAGATACATTTTTGATCTATTTGCTACTTTAATAAATAATGAACTTAATTAATGATAAAGAAAAAGAAGCTACAAATATAAAACCAGCTTCTGGGATGTGCTGACCTATAGCCCAACAGCCTAAAGGGAAGGGCAATCTTTGGTGGACAGGAAGTGGTGACCACCTGCCTTCAGTGAGGTGGCCAGTGCCAGCTGTGGTGCAGCCATCTGGCATTTTTGTGAGACACCTGCTGCAGTCTGAATATGATTTGTCCTCAGAGGTTCCTATGGGAAACCTGACCCCAGTGTGATGGTGTTGAGGCAGTGCGACCTTCAAAAGGTAGAGCCAAGGAAGGTCATCATGAGAATGTCACTTTCATGAATGAGTGATGCTGGACTCACGGAATGGAAAGGACCTCCAGGAGTGAATTAATTCCTGGATTGTTATGAAAAAATGACCCTGGCCTCTACCCCACTTTTCCTCCCTCGATGGCAGATATGACCCTCTGCGTGGGCACATTTTCCTTTCCACTCATCCACCATGTTGTAATGCCACCAGAGGACCCTTGCTGTATCCCAGCATTGTTGCAGTTTAGAGCAGTGTCCCTCAAAATTCTCCTGTGTTCAGAGGTAGGGATTTGGGAAGGCCGTCTACTCATCAGTGAGTTAATAACTCATGAGTTCATTGCTCAGTGTGCTGTCAGCCTGGCTGAGGTTGATAACTGAGCTGTGACCTGGAAGACTATGTTTCGTCTCTGGTTCTTGTCTCTGGCTTGCTTCCTGAGCAGCATAAAGTGAGCTGCTCTCCTCTGCCAGGCCCTTCCACCTTGCTCTTTCTGCCTTGGAGCCAGCTAACCATGGACTGAACCTGGTGGAACCATAAACCAAATAAACTTCTCCTCCTGTAAGCTGCAGGTGTCTGGTATTTTTGGCTAAGTAACTAATACAAGCACCAAGGTATTCAGACCTTTTAGGCACCGGAAATATATCCAATATCCAGCTGTATGCATTCTGCTCTGGCAACACAAAACAGACCAGGAAAGCACCTATGGGGCTTTCCAGGAACACAAGGCCCAGACATCCTGGAGATGCTCAGACCCCTGGTCTGAGAACCAAAAGAGCTCCACAAGACAAAGACACACTGGGCAGAAACCAGAGAACATAAGCAAATACAAAAAGACTATACAACAGTGCTGACAGGCATCAAGGTCCACCACTTTCACACTAACCAGTATAAGCAGAGTCCAGGAAAAGCTACAGTAGCAGAGAAAAACTGGGAGGAAAAAGAACAGAGAAATCCTCAGAGGTGAGGAGCAGGGACCCGGGGCTGAGAAAAGGGAAGAGAATGTTGTTTTCCTTGATGGTGAGGACTCAAGAATAAGATAAAACCAAACACAAATGAATAGAGGCACAGATACTTCAAAGATACCTGTGATTAACACTGAAAAAGCAGGCTTAGCATGCTGGGGCACACCTGAAATCCCTGCAGGCTGAGCCCAGAATGACAGGATTGTATGCAACTTAAGGAGTGATTTAGCAAGATCCTATCCCAAAATAAAGAGTAAAAATGGACTGGGATATAGCTGAGTGTGAAGGCCCTGAGTTCAAAACAGTAAAAATAAAAACAAAAACAATCCCTGCCTCTGGAAAATGCCCACACATTCAGGCCTTCACAACTTAGTGTGGACTAAAGGAATAGCAAACCCACTAAAATGGGACAGTGCAAAGAAAACACCTGGACTCTAAAATATCACAGCACTGAGCTTAGAGCATCGAACTTGCAATATACAGAATAGGACAAACCGGATTTGGGGAGAGAGGACTGCACTGATCCTACCAACAAAGGTAATAATTCCCACAAAGAATATGAAATTGAGGAGATATAGCCATAGGGGGCCTAGGGCTGGATAATGAAACAAATATTGGAATCAAACAGCACAGTGCGCGAGCCCTTACCTCCCATGGTGCGGGGCACAGTGGTGGGCGCCAGGCTCCCGGCCGAGGTCTCCGGGGTGGACGCGGTGGAGCTGAGGGCCGGTGCCGGGGACGAAGGCGTCTCGGGGGCCGCGGGGGAAGGAGTGGTTGCCCCCGTGGGCGAGGCCGGGGCCGAGCTGGCTCCCGTGGAGCCGGGGGCCAACGTGCTGGTGGCAGGAGCCAGGGTGCCCGCTTCCGAACTGCTTGAGGCTGCTGCTGTCTGGCTGGTGGCAAGTGTGGTGCTGGCCGAGACACTGGTGGGCGCCACGCTTGGCCCGGCGGTGGTGGCGAGGGCACCGGGCGAGCCGGGGACAGAGGTGGGCACCCAGCCGGCACCCGTGGAGGCGGTGCCAGGCACGGGGCTGGCAGCAGGAGGAGTCGTGCTCAGGCTGCTGTCAGCCGGGCTGGTCCGCGGCAGCGAGCTGGTGCGGGGCACGGTGGTGGGCGCCAGGCTCCCGGCCGAGGTCTCCGGGGCGGACGCGGTGGAGCTGAGGGCCGGTGCCGGGGACGAAGGCGTCTCGGGGGCCGCGGGGGAAGGAGTGGTGGCCCCCGTGGGCGAGGCCGGGGCCGAGCTGGCTCCCGTGGAGCCGGGGGCCAACGTGCTGGTGGCAGGAGCCAGGGTGCCCGCTTCCGAACTGCTTGAGGCTGCTGCTGTCTGGCTGGTGGCAAGTGTGGTGCTGGCCGAGACACTGGTGGGCGCCACGCTTGGCCCGGCGGTGGTGGCGAGGGCACCGGGCGTGCCGGGGACAGAGGTGGGCACCCAGCCGGCACCCGTGGAGGCGGTGCCAGGCCCGGGGCTGGCAGCAGGAGGAGTCGTGCTCAGGCTGCTGTCAGCCGGGCTGGTCCGCGGCAGCGAGCTGGTGCGGGGCACGGTGGTGGGCGCCAGGCTCCCGGCCGAGGTCTCCGGGGCGGACGCGGTGGAGCTGAGGGCCGGTGCCGGGGACGAAGGCGTCTCGGGGGCCGCGGGGGAAGGAGTGGTGGCCCCCGTGGGCGAGGCCGGGGCCGAGCTGGCTCCCGTGGAGCCGGGGGCCAACGTGCTGGTGGCAGGAGCCAGGGTGCCCGCTTCCGAACTGCTTGAGGCTGCTGCTGTCTGGCTGGTGGCAAGTGTGGTGCTGGCCGAGACACTGGTGGGCGCCACGCTTGGCCCGGCGGTGGTGGCGAGGGCACCGGGCGTGCCGGGGACAGAGGTGGGCACCCAGCCGGCACCCGTGGAGGCGGTGCCAGGCCCGGGGCTGGCAGCAGGAGGAGTCGTGCTCAGGCTGCTGTCAGCCGGGCTGGTCCGCGGCAGCGAGCTGGTGCGGGGCACGGTGGTGGGCGCCAGGCTCCCGGCCGAGGTCTCCGGGGCGGACGCGGTGGAGCTGAGGGCCGGTGCCGGGGACGAAGGCGTCTCGGGGGCCGCGGGGGAAGGAGTGGTGGCCCCCGTGGGCGAGGCCGGGGCCGAGCTGGCTCCCGTGGAGCCGGGGGCCAACGTGCTGGTGGCAGGAGCCAGGGTGCCCGCTTCCGAACTGCTTGAGGCTGCTGCTGTCTGGCTGGTGGCAAGTGTGGTGCTGGCCGAGACACTGGTGGGCGCCACGCTTGGCCCGGCGGTGGTGGCGAGGGCACCGGGCGTGCCGGGGACAGAGGTGGGCACCCAGCCGGCACCCGTGGAGGCGGTGCCAGGCCCGGGGCTGGCAGCAGGAGGAGTCGTGCTCAGGCTGCTGTCAGCCGGGCTGGTCCGCGGCAGCGAGCTGGTGCGGGGCACGGTGGTGGGCGCCAGGCTCCCGGCCGAGGTCTCCGGGGCGGACGCGGTGGAGCTGAGGGCCGGTGCCGGGGACGAAGGCGTCTCGGGGGCCGCGGGGGAAGGAGTGGTGGCCCCCGTGGGCGAGGCCGGGGCCGAGCTGGCTCCCGTGGAGCCGGGGGCCAACGTGCTGGTGGCAGGAGCCAGGGTGCCCGCTTCCGAACTGCTTGAGGCTGCTGCTGTCTGGCTGGTGGCAAGTGTGGTGCTGGCCGAGACACTGGTGGGCGCCACGCTTGGCCCGGCGGTGGTGGCGAGGGCACCGGGCGTGCCGGGGACAGAGGTGGGCACCCAGCCGGCACCCGTGGAGGCGGTGCCAGGCCCGGGGCTGGCAGCAGGAGGAGTCGTGCTCAGGCTGCTGTCAGCCGGGCTGGTCCGCGGCAGCGAGCTGGTGCGGGGCACGGTGGTGGGCGCCAGGCTCCCGGCCGAGGTCTCCGGGGCGGACGCGGTGGAGCTGAGGGCCGGTGCCGGGGACGAAGGCGTCTCGGGGGCCGCGGGGGAAGGAGTGGTGGCCCCCGTGGGCGAGGCCGGGGCCGAGCTGGCTCCCGTGGAGCCGGGGGCCAACGTGCTGGTGGCAGGAGCCAGGGTGCCCGCTTCCGAACTGCTTGAGGCTGCTGCTGTCTGGCTGGTGGCAAGTGTGGTGCTGGCCGAGACACTGGTGGGCGCCACGCTTGGCCCGGCGGTGGTGGCGAGGGCACCGGGCGTGCCGGGGACAGAGGTGGGCACCCAGCCGGCACCCGTGGAGGCGGTGCCAGGCCCGGGGCTGGCAGCAGGAGGAGTCGTGCGCAGGCTGCTGTCAGCCGGGCTGGTGCGCGGCAGCGAGCTGGTGCGGGGCACGGTGGTGGGCGCCAGGCTCCCGGCCGAGGTCTCCGGGGCGGACGCGGTGGAGCTGAGGGCCGGTGCCGGGGACGAAGGCGTCTCGGGGGCCGCGGGGGAAGGAGTGGTGGCCCCCGTGGGCGAGGCCGGGGCCGAGCTGGCTCCCGTGGAGCCGGGGGCCAACGTGCTGGTGGCAGGAGCCAGGGTGCCCGCTTCCGAACTGCTTGAGGCTGCTGCTGTCTGGCTGGTGGCAAGTGTGGTGCTGGCCGAGACACTGGTGGGCGCCACGCTTGGCCCGGCGGTGGTGGCGAGGGCACCGGGCGTGCCGGGGACAGAGGTGGGCACCCAGCCGGCACCCGTGGAGGCGGTGCCAGGCCCGGGGCTGGCAGCAGGAGGAGTCGTGCTCAGGCTGCTGTCAGCCGGGCTGGTCCGCGGCAGCGAGCTGGTGCGGGGCACGGTGGTGGGCGCCAGGCTCCCGGCCGAGGTCTCCGGGGCGGACGCGGTGGAGCTGAGGGCCGGTGCCGGGGACGAAGGCGTCTCGGGGGCCGCGGGGGAAGGAGTGGTGGCCCCCGTGGGCGAGGCCGGGGCCGAGCTGGCTCCCGTGGAGCCGGGGGCCAACGTGCTGGTGGCAGGAGCCAGGGTGCCCGCTTCCGAACTGCTTGAGGCTGCTGCTGTCTGGCTGGTGGCAAGTGTGGTGCTGGCCGAGACACTGGTGGGCGCCACGCTTGGCCCGGCGGTGGTGGCGAGGGCACCGGGCGTGCCGGGGACAGAGGTGGGCACCCAGCCGGCACCCGTGGAGGCGGTGCCAGGCCCGGGGCTGGCAGCAGGAGGAGTCGTGCTCAGGCTGCTGTCAGCCGGGCTGGTCCGCGGCAGCGAGCTGGTGCGGGGCACGGTGGTGGGCGCCAGGCTCCCGGCCGAGGTCTCCGGGGCGGACGCGGTGGAGCTGAGGGCCGGTGCCGGGGACGAAGGCGTCTCGGGGGCCGCGGGGGAAGGAGTGGTGGCCCCCGTGGGCGAGGCCGGGGCCGAGCTGGCTCCCGTGGAGCCGGGGGCCAACGTGCTGGTGGCAGGAGCCAGGGTGCCCGCTTCCGAACTGCTTGAGGCTGCTGCTGTCTGGCTGGTGGCAAGTGTGGTGCTGGCCGAGACACTGGTGGGCGCCACGCTTGGCCCGGCGGTGGTGGCGAGGGCACCGGGCGTGCCGGGGACAGAGGTGGGCACCCAGCCGGCACCCGTGGAGGCGGTGCCAGGCCCGGGGCTGGCAGCAGGAGGAGTCGTGCGCAGGCTGCTGTCAGCCGGGCTGGTGCGCGGCAGCGAGCTGGTGCGGGGCACGGTGGTGGGCGCCAGGCT